CCCTTTCATTCGACGACCAGGTTTATTCTTCCATTTTAGTCTTCTCTCTCTCTCTCTCTCTCTCTCTCTCTCTCTCTCTCTCCCCTCTCTCTCTCTCACTCCCCTTTCACTATCATTTTTTGGTCTCCCCTCTGCCTCATCCTCTCTCTCTATCTCTCTCCCTCATACATCCCCCTCTCTCTCCTTCTTATCCTTTCTGCCCCCCTCTCTCTATCATCCTTTTGCACCCCCTCCTTTCTGCCCACATCTTTCTCTGTCTGTCTCTCTCTCTCTCTCTCTCTCTCTCTCTCTCTCTCTCTCTCTGTGTGTGTGCATCCTTTGTGAACCCATACCTCGGTCTTGGCCCATACTCTCTTGCAACGTGTGTGTGTACTTATTTTTGGAAATACATGCACATGTAGTATGGAGGGAAAAAGGGGAGGTTTAGGGGTAGCAAGATTTAGTTTAGACTTCAGCAACAAAGTATGCTACATTGAGCCTGTAGCATACTCAGGGTTCGAGTGGGCCGACTCTGCGAAAATCCCCAGCATGACACGATACAGACCCCCCCTCCTCCCCCCAAATCCCCCTATCCAAGATGGAAAAATATCCGAGACGGGTTTACATTTTTTTACTGGCTCCAATGTGATTTCGTCTTGGGCAGGTTCAACTGTTCAAGGTAGAGGGTGTCTAAAAAATAAATAAATAAAAAGAGGACCCATCTCTAAGCCTAAACTAATTTCAATAAAATCTGGAACAAATAGGCATGCGTGATCGAGGACGTCACGTTTGTAAATATGAGGAAAATCAATCGATGCGTTCGAGAAATATCAAGTTCTAAAAATTTCAACGAAAATTGGGTAAAACGCAACTTTTTACTTCGTTTCAGCTGCAAGGGTTTCATCAGCGCGTCCTGGTTTCAGGTAAAAATGCAATAGTGTCACCTCTGATACTTATAAATATCTCATCTAAACGTTCTGAGAAAGTTTTGTAGAAGTTTGGAGATTATGTGTAATGCTGTGCAGGCCATGGTTCGAGTGGGACGGGGCTATAACCCACACATCAAGAGTGGTCCTGACATGGTTGTTAGTTTGTTAGATTAGAAAGCTTTGGGGAACGCCCTATAAGCCGAAATGTAATACAAATGAATGGTTACCTCATCCCCTCCCCCCCAAACTTAACCCCTTCAATTATTATAACTTTAGGGAGGAGGGGTAACAGACAGAGTGTAGGGAAACAACCCACAAACAACAGAACAGTTGCGTTTAAACTTAGTGTTGACATAGTAGGTCCCAGAAACATGCGACAGGTTTATTCAAAATTTCTAATGGCGTATTATGGAGCTTCTATAGAATTTCAAAAAAGGTCTACACCTGAAGATGTAAATAGCAAGCACCTTCCTTGAGTTTAATTAATATCAGTTTTGTAAATGTTTACTTCTTGTTTGTTTGTTTAGTATAGGGTTTTACGGCGCTCGCAACTGCATAGGTCATATGAGCGCGCGGGACACACCTAATACTTTTTCGTTGGTAGGAAATTTTGAATTTTGCCCGGGTGGCGGCCGAAGCCTACTCTTATCGATTTTAGACCACCAAGGGATCTTTAACGTGCGCAACTTGCACACGGGCCCTCCGAGATTTTTCGCCCTTGTCCGAGAAGGCTAGGTGTAGATCTTTCCTACCAGAAGATCAGGGGTGTGGCAGAAAGACAGCAGTTAGGAGGAGCCAAGAAGTAGCAGTAGAAAGGCTGCAGAAAGAGTCAGGAGCCCAGAGGAGGGGGCAAAGGAGGTGAGGGGGTGGGGGCAGAAAGTGGAAATGAAAGCAGACAACAGAACATTGTCAGAGATCAGGAAAGGATGTGAAAGGAGACAATTTTAGAGAAGAAAATTTTTTGGTCGCTACCCGGAATCGAACCCGGAATCGAACCCGGGACCTTTGAATGAGAGGCCAACACCTTAACCTCTAGGCCACGAGAGCCCCCTGTTTACTTCAATGCACTATCTTAGTGGCTATTAGAAATAGAACAATATGGTTAATTTTAAAGAAGTTGCAAAGTTTTGCGTTTCAGTAAATTTTGGTTTAAATTTTTATATAATTTGATATTTTTTCGAGCATGTGGGTCATTTGTGGGTTGATTTTTCTCATAGGCCTACTGACAAATGTAACGCCCTCGTGTTTGACTTTTATTTATGCGAAGTGTTATTAATTAACATTTACAGTACCGAAGATTCGTATAGTGAAAAAAAAAAAACCGTTAAGTACGGCACCAATTTAGAAAGCTGATGCCGTTGTAGAATTTTTATATTAAAAAAACAAAAAAACAAAAAACAACCTTGGCAGCCCAAGAAACACGCTTTAAAAAGTCATAGAGGTTCATCAACCATTCAGCTATCACATGTCCGCGACTAAAGTCGCCAGCGGTAGTGAGCGCACACTACAGCCTTTCGATTGGCTACTATAGTCGCCGACGGTACTTAAACGAGTTATTCCCGATTTATTTTCTTTTTAGACACCCGTTATTTGAAACGTCACGTGCCGTGTGTGGTTAAGCAAGCCTTGACCTAAGCTAGAAAAGAATGGGGTCAGTTAACGAACTTAATTAATGGAGGGTTAATTCGTTTTTAAAAAAGAGTGCTATGGCTCCGATAAAATAAATGGAAAAGCCTATATATGTGCCATGGGCCAAGGGTTGTGGTGGGGGATGAGAATAGAAATATTCGAGTCACTGTTGTGACAACACACATACACATACCCACATACACACAAACAAACACACGCATACACATACACACTCACAGACACACATTCACACGTGCGTGCATATACACTCACACACACACACACACACACACACACACACACACACACACACACACACACACACATACACATACACACGCACACGCACACACACACACACACACACACACACACACACACAGCACAACTCAGCATAGCACACACAACAAAAACCACATAAAAAGAGAAAAGAAAACCCCATCATTTTCATAGGCCCCAGAAACCAGAAAGAAAAATTGGGTTATGAGATGTTATCAAACACAGCATCATTACAAAACAGCATCATACAGACAATACGAACCTACTATATGTCGCATGTCGACATATCGCAGCTACTTTTTTTGTTTTTTAAGCCATTATTTTGTGTTATTTGGGCTATTTGTTTAGGTAACGACCATTGGAAGAGCAGCTTTTTTTTTCTCTGCTGGCCGTTCGGTTAGGGCCGCAGGCACCGGACAATAAGTATTAAATTATTTCAAACTTTTGGCTACCCAGGAAAGTTTCCGCGCTGAAGCTCCACTCGAGCACTTTCACAAGCAGTAGTTAGATTTCACACCGACACTGGACTACGACCTTACCCTGACCATCGGCACCGCTCGGGCGCTCGGGTGCTCGGACGATGGGCTTAGCGTTCACGGTTCACATAGATGGCGGCGGATGGAGAAACAACGGTAAGAAGAGTAGGTCCTGGGTAACAGTTAGGCTATACCATGGCAAAACTGTACTAAGATAGCCTAGGGTAACAGCAGTGTAAATCTATATGATAAACACCATACTACTAGGGCTTACGCCGCAAGTTTCGATCTCGACCTAAGGTCTTACAAAGGAGGTTAATTGTTCTAAGGTAGTCTACTTGAATTGGGTCTTATACCCACCCCCCAGGACGTGATGTCAGCCTCATACAGTCATGTTACCTGGGTACTCTAGACTCTAGCTACCCTTCTCCGAGAGGACCTGAACTTTTTGTTTCCTCACCAAACGAATATCATGCGTTGAGCTATAGCCTGACCATACAAGGGCATTAAAAAAATCAAAATAAATACATAAATGATACTTGTAATTATCATTTATTTATGTATGTTGTCATGAATAGGTCTGAAAGCTTCAAGATGCAATATAATGTACATTTTGTATTTTCAGTGCATGCGAATTCTTCTCAAGTTTCCATAATACATGAATCCACGATTATTTGCATCTTGAAAGAAAGCTAAACATTGTCCTCCTCCACCTCCCCCCTCCCTCTCTGTCTGTCTGTCTGTCTGTCTGTCTGTCTGTCTGTCTGTCTGTCTGTCTGTCTCTCTCTCTCTCTCTCTTTCTCTCTCTCTCTCTGTATGTCTGTCTGTCTCTCTCACTGTGTGTCTGTCTCTCTCACTCTGTCTCTTTTTTTTTCAGCTCTCCTCCCTCTCTCTGTCTCTCTCTCTCTGTCTCTCCTGTCTCTCGCGGTCTCTGTGTCTCTGTCTCTGTCTGTCTGTCTTGTCTGTCTGTCTGTCTGCCTGTCTGTCTTCCTGTCTGTCTGTCTGTCTGTCTGTCTGTCTGTCTGTCTGTCTGTCTGTCTGTCTGTCTCTCTCTCTCTCTCTCTCTCTCTCTCTCTGTATGTCTGTCTGTCTCTCTCACTCTGTCTCTTTTTTTCTTCAGCTCTCCTCCCTCTCTCTGTCTCTCGCGGTCTCTGTGTCTCTGTATCTGTTTCTGTCTGTCTGTCTGTCTGTCTGTTTATCTGTTTGTCTGTCTGTCTGTCTCTCTGTGTCTGTCTGTCTCTGTTTCTGTCTGTCCGTCTGTCTGTCTGTCTGTCTGTCTGTCTGTCTCTCTCAACCTTCTCCAAAGAGTTATTTTAGCCGTTCACCTACATTTGCTCACACAATCGTGTTGTCCGTTGCACACCTTGTTAAATACTTTGATCTGACTTTGAATGGACGATCGAACGTTTCCATTATTCTTATAAATGGCAGTGGAATCTCAGTAAACGCCCTACGTGTAATGGTATAAAAAGGCATGGACAATATGCATGTCTGCGGATAAAGCTAAATCAAGAAGGGATCGCGTAAGTGTTGACTTAGATAAAGTTCCAGTTATACTTCAGAAACAGTATATTATGACCCCCCCCCCCCCCTCAACTCTCCACACACACACGTAGGCCTACCCCCCCTCCCCCCTCCCCCCTCCCCCCCCATTTCCCGCGTGTGAGTTATGTATTAGATTATTAGATTCTATGTTGGGCCAATAGGATCTCTCTTTACCTGTCTAAATCTAGATCTAGATTACTGGCCCAAGTCACATGTATAATGTACGGAATCATATTCAAACAAAATGGCGTTGTTTGGGTGGCCGCATTTTGTATGGCAACCGTCAACGAACAAACATTTTACAAATGTGATAATCAGGAATCATAGAAGTTGAGAGTCTATGCTATGTAAGTAAGAAAACGGCTTTTGAATTAAGAATATTCCAGGGAACTGTTGTCAATCTTCGTTAAACAGACTCAGAATCTAGATCTAGATTTTGGTTCTTGTCTGGCCGTATTCACTTACAATTTACAACTTACACTCGACTTGTTGAACTCATACTCACGGTAATTTATTGTGATGTCTGGTATTGCCGCTTACGCACTGTCCTCCCCGGCACTCTTCCGACTCTACAGTCTACAGTACATACAGTGCATTCTGCAAATTTAAAGTAAATTAAAGAGTATACAATCCAGATCTAGATCTATAGATCTAGAGTCTAGATCAATCTAAATCGAGATCTCTAGACTCTGTGTCTGTAGTAGGCCAACAAGGTTTTAGTTTACTATATTTCATAAGATAGGACTACTAGATCTAGATATAGATCTAGTAATGTTAGATTAATTACTAGATCTCTAGATCTAGTTCAGTAGGACTGTGACTTGTCTACCGGCATACTTTTACTTTGTGAATTTAGGGAATGATTACTGTTCTTTTAACAAATTGTTGAATATAACTGTTTTAGACATGGCCACCTATATTCTCGGTAAGATTGTACTTTACCGGACCACCGGTCGGAACTACTTTCGCTATGGCGCCCCTGGTGCCTAGTGGCCCGCTATTCTTCGTTTCCGAGTTCCCCTACTCACTCTCCTACTCAGTTTTCTACATCCTCACTCTTCAACTGCCAGCAATCGACTGACGTCTCTTACCGGGTTTTTCAGTCATCACGACCGTGCCACCGTGCCCTTTGACCCATGACCCTGACATCTTGAGGCTAATTGGTCAATCTTATCACGTGGTCCACTATTCTTATTTGCTCGCAACTCTGCTGGGTGGCCTAGGCCTACTCCTGGTCCGGCAAAGTACAATGGAGGGCTAAAGATGCACACGAGAGCTCATTTGCATAATTGCAACCCCCTCGGCCCTGCTCGCGACTTGGCGAGTATCTACCCCGATTGTCCGCTCATATGTTATTGTTTATAATATGTGTGTGAGTGTGTCAGTGTCTTTAAATTATTGTTGCCAGGGGGGCTAGCCCCCCTGAAACCCCCCCTCCCCCCCACTGTTGTTACATTGATATGTAAACACGACTGTCCGCTCATGTTATTGTTTTGCATTTTTGTGTGTTTTCTTTATTACAGTTTCCAGGGGGGCAAGCCCCCCTGAACCCCCTCCCCACTGTTGGTATGATACACGGTGGTTCACCAAAGTTAAATCTCCTGCCCACTCTCAACCACCAACTCTCGCTCACCTTGCCTCGCCAGTTGCCGCTGGCTTGCGCTGTGCGTGCGCGAAGTCGCCCGCGGAACTACCTTTTGTCCGCACGCAGAGTACTATGACTATGAGAGCGTAGTTAGGCTAGGTGTGCGTAGTAATCACGGACCGAGACGGGTGGTCCGGTAAAGTACAATCCAGCCATATTCTCACCCGGAGCGAGAATAGCGCCTTTGTAGGCGTTTCACCTGGGATGAGAGGGCGAGCACCGGTCGGTGTACATTCACCTTTTTATATACTTTCGAACCTGTGTAAGACGGCCAGGCATCTTGAGGGGAAAATTTAAGTTGCCGCAAAAGACTGGTGGCCGTGTTAGGCAGGACTGATCAAAATTTAAAAAAAAAATAAATTTACTCCTGAGGTCCCAACTGGAGGTGGTTGTATGCTTAGGGTTGCCCTAGGGCTGATTAAAATATCAAAGTGATTATTCGGACTCGAGTCCGAATATGAAAAAATGTTAGGAAGAGGCTAGCCGTACTTAATGACGGCTAGACTGCCAGTCTAGCCGTACTAGACTCGCAGTCTAGGCGTACTTATTCTTAATATGATGGTTAGACTGACCATTTACAAAAAATAGGCCTACTGAATTGTAAATATACATTTTTAGTGTGCAGCACCTAACCTAAAGTATTTGTATTTGAGACGAAACCAGGTGCCTTAATGACAGTGCATGTATTTTAAACCTCCTGTTTTCTAATGTTAATAGGGCCTAAGCCAGTCTAGCCGTACTTAAATACGGGTAGACAGCCAGGCTAGCCATACTTAAGGACGGCTAGACTGTCAGGCTAGCCGTACTTAATATTGATGGCTGAATTGTAAATGAAATTTTTAGTTTGCAATGTCTAAAGTATTTGTATTTCAGACAAAACCAAAAGGTGCCTTACTGACTTGCATGTATTTGAACCTGAATAATTACTAGATCTAGATCTAATGAGACCTGTGTACTTAACAGGCTTGAGTCGATTGGGCCAAACCTAGATCTAAGTACGGCTAGACTGGCAGTCTAGCTAGCCACTTCGAAATTGTTATTCGGACTCTGATTCTTGTCCAGCATGACATCACTTCCGACTTCCTGTGACTCGTGAATCCAGCTTCCTGTCCTGCCTCACTCGTGACTCGTGACTCGCCTCAGGCTGGGTAGAGACCGGGATCACTTCGGGCAAAAAGGCGTTTTGTGCAGGAGCCGAGTTTTAATCTTATGATGAATTTGAGGCGGGCCTGAAAAGTTATAGCTCTTCTAATAAATGTTTATTTGTCAAGAGGTCATCAGAAGCAATTAAAGATGGCTCGTTAGCGTGTGTCGGGGTCGGATGGGCGGCCTGCACATGTGTAGCTGGGTGCGTGTCGGGGAGGGTCAGTGCTTCCACTCTTCCGTATTTTTACGGAAATCCGTACTTTCTGCCAGTTCCGTACTTGTTCCTCCTTCATCATCAACTCCCTGCGTAAAAAGAACTGCGACAGCGCAGGACTGCCGAAATTCCGTACTCGCCTTCCTATCGTCTTTTAGTTACGGATATTTACGGTAATTCTCTCGGCAACAAGTTAAAGTTATTGAAACCTGCCAGATTGCGCTTTTCCTGCATTCGGCCATTATACCGCTATGTCCCTTGAATTCATTGCGGGTTGGTCGGCAGTACATTTTTTACCTGCAGATGGATCAAAATCTGGCGAACCTTTTGTGCGAATTTCCTCCTTTCTATCATTCACTCCTTCCTTCTGTCTTTCTTCGGATTGTTGCCGCAGCTGGGAAATCTGCGCGTTGATCAAGTAAATTGACTTGTGATCTTAGACAAAAAAATTACTGTCTGAAATAAACTTTTTTTGCAAATTTGTCTAGATCTAGATCTAGAGAAATGATCAATGCGAAGATTCTACGGCACGTGAACGCAATAAGGGCCGCGATGAAAGAAATAATGATATGCTGATACGCGGGTGCCCACGATGAGACTACGGATGGGATCGGCTGATCGCCCGACTCAGTCGCCTAAAAAACAAACGTGTTTGTTTTCAGTTTCAGGCGATTGAGTCGGGCGATCGGCCCGATCCAGCCGTAGGTAAAATAAAAAATGATTCGAAGTGGTGTTCTGAGGTTGTGACAGGCGACATTCAGACGTAAAAATTGAGAAAAAATTTGGGTACACGCTGCGCAACTGTATTGTGAAGGTATACATCTATTCATTTTTCCCAGGTTTGCCTGCTATCAATGGTGCGACGTCAAATTAATTAATTGAATTATAGTTATAGTAGCAATGAAAGGAGAACCTGCTTTTAAACATTGCCAGCAATGGAAAGATATGTTGGTGAAGAAATCAAACAAGACAAAATGTTGGTGAAAAAATAAATGTTATGGGCTCTAGTCTAGGCAATCTCTTCAAACAGGCTCCCAAATGCCATTTTCATCCCTCTAAAAGCACTAAATTTCAATTTCTTCGGGGGCTTCGCCCCCTGAACCCCCACCCGGGACGCTGTCCCTGGACCCTGCTGGGGGCGTCTGCGGCCCTAATGAATTGTGCGCTGGTCTATGGAATCAAAAGTTGCCGTATGCTCAGCTCTACACAGCAACACAACTTTTTCACTTTTTCTTGGTAAACAATCGAGATGACACAGGCTTGTGTATTTGAACGAATCGACCTTTTTTTTTTTTTACACAGGGCTCATAATATGCAGGTGCCAGGAGGGGCCTGCAAATCCTTCAAATTTTACCTTTTTTCCTACAACAAAAAAAAAGAAAGAAACCGGGGGGGGGGGGGGAGAGGGGGGGGGGGGCCTACTCTAAATAAGGGGGGCGTATCAATGAGGCGGCGGGCATTGGATTGGCAGATAAGGAAACTAAAAAATGTGGAAAATTGGAAGCACTGAACGTTAGATCTATAAAACGAAGAGACTTCCTTTTTTCCGGACCCGAGTCCGAGTAACATTTTTTCATATTCGGACTCGAATCCGAATAAGAATTTTTTTTATTCGGACTCAAGTCCGAATATGAAAAAATGTTATTCGGACTCGAGTCCGAATAACGACGGCCTTAAAATATATGTTGTTGTTGTTCTTGTTTTAGAAGGACTTCCGTAACGAGCGACCACCCCATCAAACACAATAAAGAAGAGGCCTAGACCTAACCCTAACCCTAACCCTAACCCTAACCCTAACCCTAACCCTAACCCTAACCCTAACCCTACCCCTAACCCTAACACTACCCCTAACCCTACCCCTACCCCTACCCCAAGCTCTCAATTCTGCTCTGTCTCATAGTGGTCGCTCGTTACGGAAGTCCTCCCCTTGTTTTTTGTTTTGTTTTATTTCTTTTGAAAGGGGGGAGAGGATAGGACGGTTTTTGTGGGACTTTTTGTTTTGAGTTTTATTTTTATTTATGGTTCCGGGAAAGGTCAAAACAAAATGTTTCAGACGAGGAAGGCCAAGTATCATAGTGAAACAAATAAATGGGTTGCCACCTTTCGGCGAACAAGCAGCACTTCTGTTGCGAGTTTGTGTTGACTTCACTTTTATGGACTTGGTTTACAGATTGAGTTGTGGGTGGGCCTGATAGGTTATAACGGATCACTCGCTTTCCTTACCAGCAGCTGAAAATTTATTGTTATCCATTGGTCAACTTGGGTAAACATTGGGAGTGACCAAAGCAACATGACCGTTTCATCTTTTGGAGGGACTGACAACAACGACAGATGAATGAATTATGACGGCTTGTCCACAATGTCAGGGGAAATGCATAATTTTTGACAAAGTCTGGCCGCCTTAGGCAGGTAGATTTGGTTGTGGCTTGATAAAATAGGGTGACCGCGACCGCATTGGACAGATGCCCATTTGGCACAATTCAATTATTTAGAAAAAACGCAAGGGGGAAAATGGAAAGTGGCCGTTTGTACAGGTGGCCGTCTTATAGAGGTGACCGTCATGGCAGGTTCAACTGTATATATATATATATATATATATATATATATATATATATATATATATATATATATATATATATATATATTATATATAAAGTGCATCGGCTCAGGCCGATCACTCCAGGTGAGAGGGGGAGTCTTTTGGCTACTCTCACCTGGTGTGCGTTCACTGTTATACCAGTGTAAACAAATATTCCAGCGCTCTTGAGTTGAAAGTGTGCAATTTTGTCTGCGAGCAGTGAGAGAAAGAGGGACAGAGAGAGAGAGAGAGAGTGGAGAGAGTACTGAGAGAGAGAGGGGGGGAGGAGAATAAGAAACTGAGAGAGAGAGAGGGAGTAGCGAGAAATTTCGGGCAAAACCAAATGGTGACCGGCATAGTTTGGCTCGATTCGAAAAGTGAATTTCTTTGTAAACGACCAAATTAGTTTACTTCTGTGCTATAACATCATTTTTTCTTTGTTTTTGTCAATTTGATCATCCTCACCGATAGACAGTATTCAGAAATTAGGAAAAAACTGGCCTTGTTTCACACCGGGAGAGAAAGCCAACGCTGGCAAGTTTCACTCGGGGTGAGAGTTCGGGCGTAATTTTTATTCTCACCTGGGATAAGAATAGCCACTTCTTTTTGCCATTCCTTGCCTGAGTACAACAACCCTGTATCGCACAAAAACAAAATTTGACCTGAGAAGGAAAAACATCTATCAATTCATCTCTAACAATCTTTGTTAAAAATTAAAGTTTGAATATTGCACTGGCGACGTTTATTGAGCTAATACGTCTAAGAATTTGACTAAAAAATTTTAAGTTCGCAACATTACATTCATTTTGTAGAAGCCAGCAAAAAAAAGTGTTTTTTGGCGTAGTTTGTTGTACTCAGGTGACTAAATATATATATAACAATGCTCCACAGTAATCAACCTCACCAGAAAACTGATTCTCACATGCATTCTTAAACCCAGACCCCAAAATTACACCTAATTTCTTCGATTCCATGTTATTGATGTATACACATGATGTTTATTGCCTACCAAAAAATGAAAAAAGCTCAGTGAAGTTCTTTGCCTTATATTTATTTTGTGCATATTTTCTTAATTTTGAAAAAAATTTATCTTTTCTAGTGATGTCAAAATCTTAGCAGTAGTTTTAGTCAAAATCTGCTCTAACAACTACCCATTGAAGTCAGTCACCTGTACTGACAACCATTACCTACTTTTACAAGTTTTTACAATTCATAAGCATGAAATAATATAAGGCATGTTATACGTAAAGAATATTACATCAATGGAAAATCTACAAATTTGACCCAAGAGTCGATTTTTGGCCAATATCTCTATTTGTGGATTGTGAGAAGTAACTCATTTTGTCAGCACGTCTCACATATATTTAATTTTTAATAAAAATGTCCAGGAGGACAACCTGTTTAAGATGAAAGCTTAATTTTCTCTTTGACAATGGGTGGATGTGGTGGGCAGGTTTCATTGTACATATTATGGGTTTGCTATTTGTGTATTATAAAGTATAAAGATAAAACAAATTTGATGATAAGTTTATTATTGAGTAGAATCTAGATATTTGTACCTTATGAATTTATGGACTGTTTCAAGATCTGGTCGTTTTATTTTACAGAGTTAAATTTTTGCAAGTACATCCAATGAGTGTGTGATTAGTCTGAGGGAACCGAGAAGAGACGTCAAAATGAGTGCGGCCCCAGCTGAGCCATCAGACAAACTGGTGGACAGGTGAATACCTTTGAAATATCTACCTTAGGCCCTTGTAATGAGAAGGTGTAAGAAGATATACATTTATTTAAAGCATTTATAATTTATAAAAATGAATGACAGTTTTGAGGTTTTTTTTAAAGAAGTGTAACGGTAAACCCACATGTCCATCAAATCAGGTACCAACCGACCTAAAGATTTCTGTCTCTTGGGCAGTCGGTAGTTGAAAAAGAGCACTGGTTTTTAACTTTAACAATTAATTAGAATTTCATTTGGATGTGTCCACTAAAATGACACTACTCCTCCCGACAAAAGATGGTTCGGTTGGAATGCTTCATGTAGCATTTTAGTTGGGCTATATTATATGGTGACTCTTCTGCCATACTTTTTTTTTTTGGGGGGGGGGGGGTGTCATTCATGCTTTGATATTCCTGCCTTGCTTTTTTTAACCTTTAACCTGTTCCCGCATGCTAGAAAGGAACAAACCAAATAACCTCCTCTCAACAAAAATCGGGTCATTTCTGCTTTTGTGGACACAAGGCCTAAGAAAAGGATTTGGATCAATACGTGAAATGTACTGAGTTTACTTTTCCTCTCCAGTGGAGGCTTTATATTGAAAAATAGAACCTTGATGTTAAGGATGATATTTTGGTTGACATTCTCATATTCACTTAATTTAACAATGTTAGTAATGCACTAAGGTACTTGTTGCTAATTGCAATGATGATTACATGTGGTTTTTAACCTTTGATTTTATGAGGTTTCTTTCCCTGCTACTATGAAGTCATAGAAAACTACTATGTTTGGTGTTCTTTTTTTGGCCAATTGTGCTACAGCTACTTTATGAAAGTGTGGAACCAAAAGATAACATGGAAGAAGAAATATACAAGGATGTAATTATTTTATGTTTAACCATTCTCAGGAATCGCTTGCACTACTGGGTACAACACATTGCCAAAGTTTTGAGTCGCAATTCAAAGAAACTGACTCTTGAAGACATGCAACAGATTCGATATGCATCTGCCAAGCTTTTTCAGCTTGTTCAGCAAATAGGTGAGTCACTGATTTGAGTGAAAGCCCCCCCCAGATAATACTGTACATGGAAAAACATTTTTTGCTTGCTTCTTGCTCTTGTCTGTTTTTATGGACATGTGTACCCACCACAAAAATGTAATGATTTGATTGACGAAAATGCTGTGTGTTAAGCCTCATGGTGACTCCAGATTTTTTACAATACTATAACTTTCATTAGAGAAAACCATGGGGAAATTGCTTTTGCTATAAGTTAGATACCAGTTTTGTCATTACTTAATCCTTGCTCCTGGTGCACATTCGGTGATTAATCTTAACCCAAGGCAGTGCCATGATTTCCTTATATATATATATATATATATATATATATATATATATCTATCTATATATATATATATCTATATCTATATAAACTCAGAACAGTGTAATGCTTGGAATTTGCATTTAGTGCTAATCATTCAAGTAACAGGTATAGATGTCAGTTGGATAGTAATATTTGAGCCATGAAGGGTTTGGGTTGTAGTGGAATTTTTCTTTTAAAATAATGATTTGATTTGAAGTGGAAACCCCTTAAGTTAAATGTTTTTATTTCCTCCCCAATTTTTTGTTGCTTATGGTGCTGCTCTGTTAGTGCTTGTCTTTTCTGTAAAAGTGCAGAGAAAAATCAAACCTGCAGTGCCTTTTGTTGCCTGCCTCACACTAATGTTCACCAGCCTTGAAAAAAAGCATAATCACTGTCCAAAAGAGTATTTGAAGTCAGTTACACCAATGAGGTTCACATTTAGATAAAATCGCTTTAGACGTAAAGCTGAACGCTACTTGTAATATTTGTAATGCTCTTTGTATACATATCTTTGACAGAAAAACCAAGTAAAGACAGCTTCATGAAACAGTATTCTTCGGTCGATACTTTGATAACTGTTTTACAGGTAAAGTTGTTTATAGTCTAATGAGTTTATACTTTGAACATTTGATCTCATAAAAAGAATTCTTTTTAATCTGAAATATCCACAACAATTTTATGAACTGTATTTTTGTGAGATGCTATTTTTTTTACTTTACTTTTGAGTTTTTACAGGAGAGTATTTAACTTTCAAAACATAGTAAAGAGCCCAAATAAATGAAAAGAGTATAAATACTATCTCTGAAGTTGGATAGTACCACACACAGTATATAATTACTAGTCGTCAGTCGTTGTATAGAAGCTCACAGTTTCGTGTATCCCCTGAAAGAGGTGTTTATTGCTGTGTGTTCCAGTCTCTATAGGAATTGATGCAATATCTTTGAGTTCTCCAACAAGAAGCAAACTGCTTTGAGTCCATGTTGCCGGTAACAGTTATGTCTTATTTCTGCTTTACCACTAGATGTCTGAATAATCTGTAAATAGTAAATGTGCCTGTATTGAATATACAAAAGAAGAGAAAGCGGTGATTCAGTTGAAGAATGTATGTTACCTTTCTCCATTTTGTGGTCAGAGGAACAAAAGTACTTCAAGGTGCATTATGCATTATATTGCTACTCTGTTTACAAGATGGCTAGATTATTTTTTATTCGCTAACGCAGGTTTTGCCACTGGCCTGAAAAGTAATGGAAGTGGTAATTAAAGTTTGATATAATTGTATCAAATATGTAAATCCACTGTATGAAATTTAACTTTCTTTCTATTGTTTCATGAGCAGTTCAAAGAGATCCAACATTTTTAATACATTTTATTTCACATTTTCTAATCTATCTTTATGAGGCGTGATTAGTTAAAACGTAGTTCCTTTGACTTCCACAGATTGTCAGTTGTGAACAGACCATCAATAATATTGTGAACATATTCATCGACTGTGTTGGCAAAATTCGTAAGTTCACATTGTTTTGCCTCAGAGAAAAGTATTGTTTACAAATAAAGTTCATGAGTTCAGTTAGTAAGTCAAAGGCACACTCACTTTTATATGCATTTTCTCAAATGTTTCATGTAATATTCCTTACAAACGGAATAGAGGGAATATTGAAGTATCTTTCTGGACTTGACAAAGTAATAGTAAATGGATTCTAGAACTGGGGGTTCAGGCATTCACGGTGTGGAAAGACCGTTTATGTAGTCTTTAAAGTTAAATTAGTCTTTTTGTCCTGGAGACTATTTTTTATAGAAGACTATGAGATTTTTACTTGTCTGAAGTTTCTGTTATACTGAATATTGACTGCTTAGTGTAAGATTCTTCCATATGTAATTTTGTGAAGTGACTTACAACAGAATCTTACTCTGAGGCGTCGATATGTTAAGTATATTCAAGTTGTTTTTTTTCGTTCCAGAGCCTGCAAAACGAGCAACTGTTTTGGTTAACCATGGGCTGACCACAGTATTGTTCCAAATGTTGAAATTGGCTCACACCACGGAAATCACTTTCCTGGAGGATACGCTTATAGCAATTCATGTTCTTCTCAGCAGGATTGGACACAAAGGTATCCCAGGTTTCTCTTGTTGTCTTTTATTGTTACCTGTTATGATCTTTATATCATTCACTTGCTCATTTTGATGATTTTTATCTTGTTATTCATGTGTACCTTATGTTTCACACTGAATTACTATCTGTGTTTCATTTTCTTATATCAGCTTGAATATTTTTCATGAGTAATCTAGATTTGAAGTACCATTATGTAAGTTTAGCGTTAATGCTTGCAAGAGCTTTTGGAAAGTGGTTACAATCTAGGAAGTCAAACTTTTCTGGTACAATTTTGCTAAAGAGACTTTGTCTGTCAGCAAAGCTTAGATATAAACTTTTAGTGTGTCAGTATGAGTTCAATATGAGTGGGTACCACATGTATAACAGTCAGTGATAACTTCAGTCGAAAGTACTGTTGTACCTATCATAGATGTTTTTGTAGACCAAGTTAGGTGATGCAAATGGAATAGCTTTGCCACAAGACAGCTCATCAGAACTGATATTGGGGTTTGTTTTGCTTGAGTTATGTGTTGATAGTGGGAGTATGTGTGTACATGTGTGTGTGTGCGGGCGTGTGTGTGTGTATCTTTGTGCATGTGTGCGAGCATTTGATTGTGTTGCTTGAAATAAAATCAAACACTGATGGTATACACAAGTGAGTAAGTTGTATTGTTGTAATGAAAAGCCTAAGAGCTTAGCCTCTTAGACCTTTTATTAATTAGCTTTGAAATAAGAAGTCCCACCTCTAAAATAAATTTACAGTGTTGAAAGGAGCATTAAACCTATCACATGCTACCATGTCATTCCCTCCTGTGTTTTGACGTGTTCTTGCATTCTTTTTGTTTTTCAGACCGGAAGTTTGCTGTGAAGGCGAGACTTCACCAGAGCTTAATGTTGACTTTAAACTTGGTGAAGTCGAACTTTCATAACTTCAGAAGCTTGCAGCCGCTGCTACAGGTGCTAAAACTATATACCAACAACAGTAAGTATCACACAGGTTTTTTTGCAAAGCTTTAATATTTTTCTGAAAACTCACCTTGAAGATATTTTCACATTTCCGGGTATTTTATGAATATGAACATTTTTGTTTTATTGACTGAAATTCCATTTTCCCTATTAAAAGTAATGCGAAATCCACACTTAAATGAGGATTTGAGAAATGTGTAGTTTTCCTGTAGGTTATTGTGATTTTACAAACTTGCCAAGTTTACAGGGGCTCTCTTAATCTAGAGATATGATGGTTGCCTTGCTGTCAGAAAGTCCAGGGATCGAAACCTGCCAGCAACTTCAGAATTCTGAAATGTTCTCTTTTTTCCACCTCTTCTGTTCTTTAATTCTGATTTGTCATCTGCTTTCATCTCCACTTTTTCTCCCCTCCCCTGGCTTACTCTGTGCTCGTTTCTCCAATACTCCTGACTCTTTCTACTCCTTACTCTACTCTTTCTACTTTTGGCTCCTTCTTACTGGTTCTTTCAGACAAACTTCCTGTTCTCAGGGTATGTGAGATCGAACACTGAACCCTTTTGGATAAAGGGCGAAAAATCTCGGAGGTCCTGTGTGCAAGTGGCACATGGTAAAGATCCCTTGGGGGTCCTAAAATCAATAAGAGTAGGCTTTGGCCCCACCCGTGCAAAACTCAAAATTAGTTCCTACCAAAACTGAAAATGCTCTAGTCAGTCAATAGAGTACCTTTGAAATCAGAATGTGGCTGCCTGAAGGCAAGGGGCAGTTGGAACAACGGTCACATAGGTAAAAATCAGTTGTACTGCAGGTTGAAAAAACAGCTGTTGACTGCCTCTTGAGATAGCAGTGGATTCAAAGAAGCAGAAGTTGAGTTTACATTCTACTTATTCTGTCAAAAAGTTTTCTGAAATTTTTTTAAGAGTTACTGAATTTAAATGAGTAATTGTTGTCAAGGGAAAATGAATATTTTCTGTACGTTTACGGACAATGTATTCGGGCTTCATATTCAGATTTGAAGCAACATAGTTTACTTGTATTTAAGATTATGTAATGTGTTATAATCCTAAGGTGTCAACGCTTCATACCTGGGGAAGAACAACTCCATCAACATCATGTTTAAGGTCATCAGTGCGTGCGGCAAACGTCACACAGTGGATTTGAGGCTGGCATTAGAGAACCTCAGCAACATGACCAAATCAAGTATGATCCACTGTCTTTCTTTTTCCCAGCTGTTGCTTTATAAAGAGATGTATACATTATTAAGGATCATCTGTTAATGGGATGCTGAATTATTTTGTAAACTTGATATTTTGCGAGTGTAAAACACTCTTTTTGTTCTTTGTGGTATGCTCACAATTACTGTTCTTGATATTTTGTTCAAGTGAGGGAAAAGAATTCCGTTTATTTGGGACATTGATAGTGTGAAGTCAAATTAGGCCCTTTGTGACAAATCTTGTATACCATTTGTCCTACATGTTTGGTCGAGATATTGTCCTCTCATACCACATATGTCATGAAATCAACCAATTTTGACAATTATGTGGGTTATAAGACATCCACCATATTGGAGTTTATAAATACGTTACTTGCTTTGAACAGAATTTTACTGGAAGACTGATGAAAGACTTCAAATCTGCGATAGTGAAAATATGAGAATCATGTTAATCTTTCATTTTGAAGAGGGTTGCAAAATGACTGAAACCACTACCTCCTAGCTTGCAAAAGTTTGGTGCAGTAAAAGTTGAAAGATCTATCTGTCGCGAAGGCGTGAAAGCCTTGTAGCTTTTTGGGATCAACTGCCAAATTTGCTCCTCTGAAGTCTCATGCATGTTTTAAGTATGCAGTAATAATAATATGAAGATAGTCAACCCTTTCACTTGGGTCTGGGTCCGTAGGTTAAAATGGAATATGATACTAATGCATTCTACTAGAGGATATAGGCTCGCACCATAACACAGTTATAATGTAGCCGTTGTTCTATTTACTTTTTTTCCTTTGAACAGAACTCGAGTTTAATGTGAATGTGTTTGAAGCTGGTATATGGGGATCCTAGGGTAGGTAAGGTCAGTTCCCAGTTTCTTGGGGTTATCAGGATATTGTGTCACTGAAATTTTGAGCTGTACATTTGCTTCTTTGTGCTTGCCTGAATGAGAGGTTATTCTCTTACTAAAACTTTACTTATTCCATGTACTGCAAAAACATTTTGGTTCTAATGTTTGTGTTTCTTAGGTTTCCTGGTACAATTTTAACTGTATGTTCAGACTTGGAATAATCTGTCTTTAATGGTAATCATGTTTTTAAATTTTCTTTAGAAAGCAACTCTGCACGCCTTATTGGGATGGGCGGGGTCCCCCAGCTGCTCACTTTGCACTCGGAGTGGCAACAAATGGACACCAAGCACAGGAATCTCTCCATACGCAGAGCCATTCTGCTGATACTAAGGAATATTACCAATCTCAGTGAGCCTCTTTCTTTCTTCAGCTCTTTTATTTCTTTGATATGCCTTGATACTGTTTTGATCTATCTTGTTGGTTGATTACAATTCTACAGGACATTTTTGTATTTTTTAGTCTTTGCTCATCAGCAAGCCCTATTTGTAATCTCATTTACTCTTTAAACCCTGAGTTTTTTCCACAGTTTCCCAGAGTTTTTCCTACAGTCACCTACACCTGGTGCACTATGTCTCATTGTAACCCCAAAAGCTTGCCTCCAACTTCTAAATAGCCTAACAAAGGCTTAGTTATTACTAAGATACTTGGTTCTGGAATAGCTTCGAAAAACAAGAAGAAACTAGCACTAAATGAAATGCAACAGTTGTCACTAGTATCGGATGCTCCCAGAGTCCGATGGGGAACTGGGTTATTACCGCCAGACGCATGGAGTTTATAGAGTTAACAAAGGTGAAAAGATCAAACCAGTCAAACAGGTGAAATATCTAGGATATATTATAATAACATCTGATGCCAAATGTTCCACAGAAATAAAACGGAGAATTGCAATGACTTAGGCTGGTTTCACTAGAAAAGGCCCAATCATGAAAAATGAAACATATCAATGACTACCAAAATGAAAATACTGAAATGCTACGTATGGTCAACTCTTCTATATGGCTGTGAATACTGGACAGTCACTGAAGACAGTGAAAAGAAAATGTAAGCAACGGAAATGTGGTTTCGTAGGAGAATATTGTGGAAAGAAAAGAAATAATAATACAGTAATCTCTGCCTAAGATCCCACCGCTTACGATCCCGGTTCGCTAAAGATCCCGCTGCTTTAAGAAAACATAATTTTTACTATAAAAAAGTCACCCCTAAGATCCCGCTCTGATTCACTCTGAAGGTCTACATTCGGCTAAGATCCCGCTTTTCAGACCATAATTTTCGGAACAAAAACCCGAGCGGGACAGCCGATCAACCAAGAGTGAAAAGTTGAGATCAATAAACTGTCCATCGCGTCAAAGATCAGCCACTATCGTGAATGGGATCACATACACGTTGTAAAACTCGATGAAGCGTTACAGTGTTTGCCCCAGACGGGATCACAACGGGGTGTGAACTGACCGACACGTTTGTTTTCCCCAAACATCGCACTCACACCTAAGCTCTCCCCCTAAACTTACATCACTCGCTGGATGCGTAGGGTCTACACGTTCGCTCCAGGTGGGATCACATTGAACTGTGAACTGTTCCCTGACCATTGCAGAAGTTGTCTCTACTCCCGAATTTGCGAGACAGACTGAATTTTAATTGGTCTGTTCACAACGTAATGGTGTGTAACGACAAAGGTAGGGGGGGGGGGGGGGACGCGGTCAGAGATGGAAGGCTATAAATTTTCTACAGGTAAGGGGGAGGGGCAACTGGATGAGCATAGATCTTGAGACTCATGATAGGATAATAAGTGAAAATGGCACGCATCATGCCACTATGCACTGTGATAGGTTATCAAGGTTAACCACTCTTTGCTCGCCATACGTCATAAACCCACCAAGCGGTCACGTCAATTCATTTTAGAGTGGAGGGAGACCATTTTTACCGATTGTAAGCATCAGCATGGGTCATCATAGATTCTTCCCTGGGTTCGTCGGTTAAGATCCCAGTTGGCCTAAGATCCCGCATTTCCTTGCTCCCGAGCACCGCGATCTTAGGCGGAGACTACTGTAATAATAGATAGCATTTGTATAGCGCAAGTCCCTGCTCAACAGCAAGCTCTATGTGCTTCACAATCTATACTATTACCCCAGCAGACCAGAGAGCACTCTAAAACAACCTCAACTTCCTGGGAAGCATACAGTTCAAGTGGCCATCTATAGGTGCTAAAACACTAACATACTGACAAGATCTTTCGCTGTCTATGGCTGGATACCCATTCCCACATGGGTGAAGTGAGGAAAATTTGTGTTAAGTGCCTTTCTCAAGGGCACAACGTCGGGCCCGCGGCTCGAATCCCCAAACCCGCAACCTCACGATTACGAGTCCGGTAGCCTAACCACTAGGCCACCAACGCCACATATCAAATGAGGTAGTGCTTGATGAAGCCCATATGGGATGCTCACTGTTAAAAACAATCAAGAAGCGACAAATGCAGTTTTTGGGACTCCTGAATAAACATAAAGGTCTTGAATATCTAGCTCTCACTGGCAAAATTGAAGGCAAACAAGGCAGGGGTAGCCCTAGAGCAACCTACTCAGGGCGCCTAAACTATAGGATAATGGGGAAAGATCAGGGAAACAAGTTTTTTTAAGAGCATTCGAGCAAAGGAATGAATGGAGAACCATGTTCGCCGATGTCTGCCGCAGATCTGGCACTGGATGATGATGAGTCATTGCTCTTGGTGGCTTTCTGCACTGAGTTTTGTGTTCCCTTATTTTCATCTCAATACATAATGAAGCATTTCATTCTGTCAAGACAATACTTTTTAGGTACAAGTTCATCATAGATTGAAAAGAATCCACTAATGAACATTGGCAAGGTAAAAAAAGAGCTATAGAAGCTCTGGCACTGCACATTACATTTTAAAATATTTTTTGGATAGAGCAATTCCATTTTAGAATGGCTTCTCAGAATTTTTACCTGTTAGCATTGAACTACAATCTGTTTGTTTTTTTCACTGTTACAGTCATAAAAACAGAAGTGAAAGCATTATTACGTTATATACTCTTTTCTAGACACAGTTTGGGGGATGGGGATGTATAGGACAAGTTAACTTTTCTGACCCAGAGTTGAAAATTGACTGAACTGGATGATCTTCTGCTTTGATGTGAGGCCTACTTGGTTATCCCTGTACATTTGGTAAAATTACTCTTGAGATGCTTTTTAATAAAGTATTTTTGTTGTTGCTATTGACGCTGCTGCTGCTGTTGTTGTTTTTTATAGATAAAACTATAGTTTGACTGATGCACTTAAGTAGCATGCTATTTTGTATGCTGTGGAAATCTTTTGCACTGTTCCACATGATTATTTTGGTATTTTTAAAGTGTTGAGTGGGAAGAAGAAGTAATTATCACAGGTTTGGTTTTGGCAGTGTCTGTTATTGTCAAAGCATGTGTAGCATGTAGATAAAAATTAATTAAATAAAAGATTAGTGGCTGTAAAGTAAGTTGTTATACTTTCTAATCTTATGTTTCAGAATCCGGACGCAAAGCCTTTGTTGATGCAGATGGAATTCGTATTTTGTATGAGAGTGCCCTGGAAGCCAGTGACTGTCGTGATATGGAGAGTTTGATCCTCTTGGCTAGTGTGATTCTGCGGAAGTGCTATCCTCGCAACAAACTGCCCATTGACTCTACACTGTGTCCAGCTAGATTCATCTTACCAGACTCACCAAATCACATACCTGAGTGTTACAGCCTACCGAACTATCCAGGTAGGTTTATATGAATTTGTTGATGCTAGTGGAATTGATAACACCGGGAAGGTACACTGAATTGAGAAACATTTTTTTTGGTCCTGTGTCCATTCAAATAAGAGTTGATAATGAAAATGAGGTTTAAAACAATTGTATATGTCACATGAGTAGAAGATAGTAAGCAAAAAAAGAAAGAGCCGAAACAAAGAGCAAGATTTTAGTCTAGGCTCTCTTTCAGCAGAAGACTCACACATCACTGTCATCATCAATTTAGTTTCCTTAAAATAAGCGTTTACATGGAACATCCATGAGTATTTGTCATTTTTTGGTTTTAATTGATATGTTGGTAAAAGAATTATTTATTGTTTCATTTAAATTAAAAGAAATAAAGTCATATGGCATTCTCTAAAAAGATGAGGGTGTTTAAAAATGAAAGTTACGAAACCAAGTTATGTTGCGACCGCTGATTATTAATCTTCCATTTATTCTCTAGATCTCCCTCAGTTTGTATATTTTGTAGTTATGTGGTGAAGGAAGAATAACCCTGGTTTGACAATTACCCACAGACTCTGATAATAGAGAGGGATTGCTACCCTCAAAGTTCGGGAGAGTCTACGATGTTGTTCGTAACTTGATTGGAGGGGCTGGTATAGTTAAATTGCTGATGGTTTCACTTTTTTTTTTCTTTTTTTTCTTTTCCAAGTCTATTATTGATAGTTTTTTTTTTTCACTTTTAATGTTTTTTCGAAAGATTATTGTGCTCACCTGTGTTGAAATCATAGTCTTCGCTTTTCAATGTACTTTTCATTCTTTTTCTGCTTAACTTAGTACAGATGTTAAGAACATCTTTGATAGTGTTTTGTTTTGTCTGTTTATTTGTTTAGTTTTTTTGCGTTAGAATTCTTTGTTGAAAAGTGTAGTCAACGGAAAAGGCATTTGCATTTGTATGTCCCCAGTGGTAGTTTTACTTTTTAATTTGAAAAATAGGTTTTGAGTCAAGTTAAGTTTTACTATCACTAATGCTTGTTTTGCAGTGTAAATGTTCTTCACTAAATGATCACCTCATAAATTTGACATATTTTGTCATATTTTGGAGAATCTGAGTAGAAAATTACTTTTGTGAGGTTGTTTTCTTCATTTTTTTGGTAGATCTTTAGTTTTTTGTTTTGTTTTCCTTTTATTTGTGATGAAATGAAAATCAAGGTCTTAGGCTTTCTTTTGTTTAATAGATAAAAAATGAATTATTTGACTTATGAAATGATTATAGCTATAAGTTTTTAGCAACTGGTGTACTCTTTATACAAGGGCAAGAAAAGGTATATCAATTTTTGTACATAAACAATGAGCTTTCTTTCAAAATTTTGTTTTGTTGTATTTTTTGTATGAGTACTGACCCATGAATCAGTAGGCAAACTACCAAATGCGTTTCATAAAGTTTTGAGTAAGAATAGTTTTAGAACGGTTTCATATTAAATTTCTAGTCATGGAATAGACACATAATCAGTTTTTGTTTGTGTTTGATCGAGTAAAACTTACTCTGTGTTCAAGCGTTGCGTTTTAGTCAGTTTTGAGGAGACTGAAACAACTGTATACAATGTTCTAGCGTTGCGTTTTGGCCTTTATTTAACAAACTGAAAAACCAAGTACAATGTGAATCATTTTGTAGTGATGGTCTTTCTTGTCACTGATAGTGCCCGTGTGCTCATGGCAAGACGGGCCTCAGGCGGAGGAGAGTGACCACAGCTCCATGGACGAGGATGACGATGTGGACAGTGATGACGAGGAGTTTCGGACAGATACAGAGGAGGTCGGTGTCTCTGTCTGTTTGGAGGAAGTTGTTGTTTATTCTTGCTGAATCTGAAATTAAAATGTTCTACAAGTTTTTAAAAAAATGTACAGGGTGTCAAAACCCCCCCAAAAAGGACCCATTTAAAGGGCAATAACTTGGTCATCTTAGCATCAATTTCCACAAAACATATAACAAATAAAATTCAACTGAAGTAGTAGTATCAAATTTGTCAATATGAAGAGGTATATGTCCTGTATTTGTGGTACCTTTATATCTGGATCTTTATTAAATTCAGTTGTGTTCGAAGGGAAGAAGGGTGTTTCCCATGGATTCATGTTGCTAAACAATTTGAGATACTTTGTTGTTTCGACACTCATGTAAAACACGAAATGGGGTCAGATGGGAACTAAGATTTGACGGGGAATGGAGAGGGGATGGGATTCTAGCATTCTGCCACTCCTTTTTCAAAATGATGAAGAGTACTGCTGTTTCTGCTGTAAAAGTATCTGTTAAAAAGATTTTTATCATGCAGTGTCTTTGAAAAAGTAATTTCTCAGTTACATTGTAAGAATGTCAATTTGTTTGTGCTAGAATGTGGGGCGTTTTTTTGTTTGTTTAGTCAGTGATCTTAACAGGAAGTTTTAGTAGAATTATATGGTGCAGTTGTTAGCCACAGAATATTTGGGCTTTATGTCCCTGCCTCTACTAATGGTACAGGGATCTTGGTGTTCATTTGTTATTTGCTCAAACTTCTTTGTATATTTCAGCCTGATGATGATCAGTTAGATGGGTTAGAGCCTGCCGAGAGGAGGACTACGGAGGATCTGAGGATGTACGACACTTTTTTCCCAGAACTTTTCTTGAATGAGGTATTCACTTTAGTTGTGAATTGATGAATATTCTGATTCAAAATTATAATTTATCTTTTTAAGTTAGGACTTGTGTAGTTTTTATTCTTGTAAATTGCACTTAAGAGATAAGTCAAGGAGACAACTTGCTGAACTCACTTTTTATTAGTGTGCAAAAGTTATTGCAGTTTGCTTCTTTCACAAAAAGTGCTTTCGTTGTATAATTAATTATGTTTGTAACTCTCTATCTTTGCGCCTTAATCAGTAAAAATTTTTAAAAATGTGTATGAATGCTAGCCTAGTTTTAAGAGAATTATAGATGGTTGAATTGATAAACATTATTTAATTCTATATGTTTATCCCAAGTATTTTTGACAATGTTAAAAAGATGCATTCTTAAAGTGAAGACATAAGCATTTATTTATATTGTCCTCTTCTTTAATGAACTGGCCATGGCAAAAAAAAAAGAGTGTTATTTATAAATCCAAGTTCTCAATGTCTTCAGCAAAAGGTGACAAGATGATAAAAGTGATTTAAGTTGTGTTGATAGGGGCTTGAAACCTTTACATCAAATTAGTGGATTTAGGCATACATTGTTCTTCCTCAGAGCTCCCAGCCAAATATTCTTACCTCACCGGCTCAGAGCTCCACGTCCGACTTCACAACAGCCAGAAGTCAGACCTTTATGTCTCCCCCCGATGTGCTTGGGATGAGGCAGACGGTGTCGGACGTCAGTCTCTTCGACATGTACAGAAAGGCCAACATGGATTTCACCACCACCTCACGTTACTACCAGCAGGCTCCTTCAAGCTGTGGCCGCCCTGCCACTCACAGTCAGACATTTGTAAAAGGTATGCTTCTTTCCCTGTTTGTGTTTTTGTAAAAATGACATACTTCTTGTCTTTTTAAAGATATAATTGTATTAAGCTCAGAATTTTGAAGCTTCAACAGACAATGTCCAATAGCTTCTAACAAATACCATATTACAAGCGCAAACCACTCTTGAAAATACAGCTTCGTCTGCTTGCACAGTAGTGATCGATTGCCATTTTGAAATTATCTTTCAGTGATAAAAAATGGAAAAATACGTTTTTGTTGTTGTCTTAGAACTGATCAGTTCAAGAGGCAAAATTTCTTTCTTGATTCATCTGTTCTCAGAGTTTATAATTTTATGTGCTGAATGTTTATTTCAATGCAGTACAAACTCACATTTATGCTAATACAAAAGTTTAGTGTTATAATCCATCCTATGTTCATAAAAATGCACTCCTGTCTCAGGTTTCGAACTCTATTTCCGTTATAAGAATGCCCTATTTTCATCGGTAATAACTGACATCTTTGGATATGCAGTTATTTCCCTCTTCTTGCGGAACACCCCCCCCCCCCCCCACCCCTCTTCCCAATGACTGGAGACAACAAGTCTGACCGGCACTTGAAAGTATAAACATATAATCTGTGTCAGAATAGTGAATCCATTTTGTTTTTGCCAGTAACATATCTCGGATGACTTCCCTTTTTTCATCCTGTACTTGATTTTTCTCTTGTGTTGTGCCGTGGTTGTTTAGAACATAACTACATCTTTATTTGAAGGTTTGGAACGAGATGAGAAGAGTGTGAGTGCTATCAATCTGAAAACAGGATCCAGCGTCATATCCTTAGAGCTGGGCCCAAGACCTTCAGCCACTGCTGCCAAATCTGCCAAGAGTCTTCCCAAAGGAAAACCAAAGAAGCGTTCAGTGACAGTACCCAAAGAGAAGAAAGGCCGCAAGCTTTCCACTTCCAGGGCGGATGAGATAGTCCCTGATACTTCAAGTGCCTTGAACTGTACCTCCTTCCAAGAATGTGATGACTCGGATCAGGTATGATTCAAAGTCATGGATTGACGGAGATTAGATGGAAATACCTTTTACAGTAATTTTATGGAGTATTTTTACAAGTGAATGCTCATATCATCAATGTTGAGTTAGAAACTTCAATTTTTAAACTAACTCTATAAAGTTTGAATCTTTTGCGCCCCCCGTTGATGTATTGTAGATCATATAAGGGGCATGATTACTCTGTAAAGCAGGGTCAGTTACTCATTTTTCTTGTGACAGTGGTGACATCGACTAATATGTTTTCTGTCATATTATTCTCTTTGTTGACAGGGCACGTAAATTAAAGTTTTGTCACATGTGAAAGATGTTTGATGAAGTTCCATTTTTTTTCTAAAAGTTTTAAGTATTATTTTATGGTTGAAATTGTTGATGTCTTTCCTGAGTCAGCTTTCTTGTGGACTGTGGGTTTCTAGGTAGTGAAAATGAATTTTTTATTGCCACTTCCGAGATACATTGGTCGCCACGGCACTGTTGAATTTTGAATTGCAATATTCTGTATTTAACTATTGCTCCATGATTTCCATTTTATTTTGTGGAATTACGGCACACATGTTACTTTTGTTAACTTTGTTGTAACTCTTTCTTTTCTGTCAGAGATATGGGTTTGTGGCTAAATTCATTTTGTAAGTTTAAATCCTCGAATGTTATATCTTTTAAAAAGTATTTTAAGAGGAGTAGATTCTCTGAGAAATGTTTGGCATTATATATTTTAGAAAAGGTCTCAGAAAGTAGCCTTGAAATTTTGGCAAGGGAATAGTGACGTGATGGGAAAATATCAACTCAAAGAGAAGATTAAGTACTTCAAAAAACAGACATAGGCCGTTTCCGTGATTATTAAGCATTGTAGAGTGCAGGCTTTTGTTACCTATAAGTCATTAATTAAAAGATACTTTGGCCAAACGTTTTTCATCTTGATATGTTTGTAGTTAAATGTGTGTTTTGTCTTGGGTCTTTTTTCAGGGAACTCTGTCCAGCAACGAAGATCTTGATGGGGAATTTTGTGAGTTCATTCATGATGCCCAGCTGTATGGTCAGATGGCTGCTGACACATTTAGTGTTCATCGTTTCCAGAAACTAGCTTTTCCTGACCTGTATGGAGCAAAGGGACACTCAAAGAGAATGGAAAACCTTGTCTCTCGAAAGTTTGGAGTTCAAAGGTACTCTAACAGTTTGTGCAAAAGTTGATGTTCAACTGCTCACCATTCTAGATTCTATCGGCTAAATTGGCTACTGGAAAAGTTGTATAAGTTCTAATGTTTAGCTCTTTGTTATTCATGAAAATTGTTTTAAAATATACTAATGGTGTTCATAAGTATAGGCTAAAAAAGAACCCCAAAGAGTTAGTTTGTTAGTCTGAAGCTTTTACAAAAAGGTTAAAAGAGTTTTCCAGTGATCAAGGACTGACATACTTATAAATATTATATCAAATGATTCACAGCCCATCATTTCTTTGACCATCATGTTTATCATGTTACTACCTTTCAGAGGGTATCTCAGTTTAGCTGTAAAGCATCTGAATGGCATTTATTAAAAATATTATGAATTCAGTTCCCTGTCACTGTTGAGCAGGATGGTGTATCCTTGTAAAAGTTGAGAAAAGTACATAATCCATTTTCTTTCTATTCTTTCAGCTGAAAATGTGTACAGAGCACTGGTCTATGGCAGCCAGAAATAACATGTTTTGCAATGTTTTGTATTGTATACTATGTGATGTTTATGTAACATGTTTTTGACTTTATGTACACATTTTCCTAGCCATTGCAACCCAAAATTGTTCCGAATTGATGAATGAAAGTGATATTTTTCTTTTTCGTTTCTTTTCAGAATGAAAATATTTGAAGATATTGACAGAATGATACATGAACAGTACCTTGTTGACCGTGTGGTCTACGACTTGGACAGGATCATAGCAGAAGCGGGAGACAGTTACTGTGGGAGCAAATCAAATCTGTCCAACAGGGACGAACTCAGGTGAGTGAGAGGAGGGCAAGTTCTGTGAGAATGTTGATGTTTTGCTTGGTTTGTCTCTGTAAGACTTTTGTCTCTTCATTTTTCTCTCATTCTAGTGGTAATTTTTTTTTGGGGGGTATAGAATCTGTTTTCTTCTAAATGTTTTGTTTGTTCTGATACTCTGATGAATGACAATTATTACTGGTGCAGCTATAAACTATTTTACCATGTTAGCAAAGTTGGGACCTTGTGTAACTTCATTATTAGCCATCTGTGTCCAAGTGAAAGAAATGGAGAACCCCCTTGCGGCTGATCTGGTCTTTTTAGAACAACATCTCGCTCTTGTGAGGCTCCATACCGGCCAAAACTCCTCATTGCTCCCTGAAAGAAAATTGAAGGTTATGAAACCTCCACCCTGGCTGTCGTTATGGTCAAGAGGACCGGGCTGTCTACATGTCTCCATGTTGAGCTATGACAGAGTAGGGGGGATCTGTTGTCTTAGTTCTTGCAAGGAGCTTGGGAAAAGTTTTAATCTTTTGCTTCATGTGGCCTGAAGTACGGCTGTGCAACAGGAAAATGAAAAATGATTAATGTTTTTGAAAAATCATAGCGTGGCTGAAGAAGTTAACAGCATTTGAAATGTATTTCAGGGTTGGCTACATAGACCAGCATTCAGAGGCCCTCAAGTTTAATGCTCAGTTTGAATGTGGAAATCTTCGAAAAGTGATTCAGGTAAACATTTTTCTTGATTTGAATAGTCACCTTTGTTTGTATTTTTGCCCAGCTGTTACAAAGCTGCTTTTTTTAGTTCTCACACTTGCCCTTCTGTGTATCTCCACATTACTTTCATTTGAGGTCCATCCTTTTTTGTAGTGCAGGTTTTGCAAATTCCTAACTCAGGAAGCATTTCTTTCCTCACATCTTTTTATACGTTTAAGTGCATGCTGAGTTAAAGTTGTCTTTAATTTTGTATGTATATGTCTTCATTTTGCATGTATATTTCTTCATTTTGCATCACAGGTGCGACAGCATGAGTATGACCTGATTCTTTCTCCGGACATCAACTCCAACCACCACCACCAGTGGTTTTACTTTGAAGTCAGCAACATGCAGTCTAATGTGCCTTACAGATTCAACATTGTCAACTGTGAGAAACTCAACAGCCAGTTCAACTTTGGTGAGTTTTTGCTCCCAGCTTTTGATTCTCTCAATTATTGTTTTATAGCTGCTTGAAGATTCTTTTTCTTTTTGTAATTCATTTTTGAGCTAGTCTTTTAAAAAATTAATCTAAAGTCATTATTTAAAAGGAAGGGCAAAAAGGGGATAGGGGGTTGAGGTGGGTGTCTCTGAAGAGTGGTGCTTTCTTCTAAACAGGTGAAAGTAAATTGTTCTCCGAAGATTGTTTCCTTTGTTTCGGTTCTTGCCTTGAATATCTCATTACTGAACATATATATGACTAAAAAACTAATTTTTTATCACTTTCTTTGTGTAGGAATGCAGCCTTTGATGTTGTCTGTAATGGACTCCATACAAGGCAACCCTTGCTGGACGCGTGTTGGAAACGACATCTGCTACTACAAGAATCATTTCATCCGCAACCCCAACACCACAGGAGGTGTCAAGGGCAAGTCATACTACACAGCGACCTTCACCGTCACCTTTGAGCACAGTGGAGACATTTGTTACCTCAGCTACCACTACCCATACACTTACACTCAACTGAAGGTATTTATTAGTCTTTTGTGGAGTATAGATTGGTATGGAAATATTTATCTTTTTGGAGCAAAGGTCTACAGAATGTTGTTGCATCATGTTGCACACTACTGAGTACTGTGTTCCCACCTGCTGTGCTTATAAATTGGTATGATCTTTCTGTTCTTTGTTATAAAGGAGTTTCCTTGCTTTTTTAATGTTCAGTTATTAGTTTGTTGTAAAGTGAGTAGAAGATTCTTTGAATACCTCTTGTCACATCTTATAAAAATACCAGTTTCGATGGTCATGGCTTACAATTATCGAAATACATCCTTCTCAAGACAAGAAAAATTTCATTTTCTTAAATTTAGAGAGATGTAACAGTCTTTCAACAAGCTGTCTTTAAAAGATCATGTTTATTTCCAGTTCTGTAAACAAGAGGCTGGACATAGTATTTCTGAGGCATGATGGTGAAATCAGGTGCTCATCAAAATAATGAAATCAAAGAAATCGGCATTTTCTTGGCCATTGGGCAGTTTTTTCCTGATTTTCCTTTTTTGGCTGAACACCCTTTATGTCTATTGAAAAACACAGTTTTGTGTGGATTTTACCTTAAAAACATTGGTTAAAGTTAGAACCACAAAAAATGTAAATTTTCAGTTTTCAAGGACTCTCAGGCTATGGACGTTACCAAACTTTGGCGACTATTTTCTATCTAATTTTACCTCTGAAACCAGGTGACCTAGACCTCCTTCAATCACAAATATTTCAACTTCTATTCAACATAGATGGATATTTATTTCACCAAAAGAAAGGCAAAAGATGACACCAATGACCCTATATCCCCCAAAATTGACAAGCGCTTGATTCCACTGGGCCGTGACACATTTTTATAGCTTTAGGTTTTTTTCAAAGGAACTGGTACTGAGGTTTATTTCAACGGATGCACAACTGAGTGTGTTTTTCACAGGAGGAAATGCATTGATATACAAATTATGTTCCCTCTCCTCAGACTCATTTATGTCAGTGGGAAAAGACGCTGGACTCTAATCTGATTTACTTTCAAAACCAAGTGTTGTGCAAAACGTTAGGAGGAAATGATGTGCCTGTCTTAACAATCACCGCTCAGCCTAAAGGCGTGGACAGGGAAAGCCTGGAGGAGTTCAGTGAGTCCCCTGTCTGTGTGCATCCTCTTTTTTTTGTAGTGTGATGACATGGGGAGAAGATTCTGTGCTGATCGGTAGTTTCCTAGCTTTTGAGAGAAAGTCATGCAGGTTTTCATTCCTGGTGTAATTGACACAATGAGAGCTGAATACTTTCCATCTGCACTGGGGCAGTAAGAAAGAGTACTGTAACAGGTAGTATGTAGTATCTATGTACAAAGCTTCTATTGCCTATATTAACATTCTTGTCAAGTGTGCTTTGACTATATTCGATTGCACCTTCTGGTATTGAAGCATGCCTTTTGTTTTTGAGAATATTTTTTATGCATGATGTTGTTTAAAGTCATCGTATGTTAACATATAGATATCAATATCCGTAAATGAAGGTATTTTATGTTGATGCTGGTTTTGCCCCCCCAGGGAGTCGTCCGTACATCTTTCTCAGCGGACGTGTCCATCCAGGGGAGAGTAATGCAAGTTGGATCATGAAAGGTGTGATCTCGTTTTTGTACTGATGTTATTTGTTTGTAGTGTTTTCAGTCCTCATTTTTTTAATGACTCTTATTAATGATATTTTTAAAAATCAAAGATTTCACGCTGTCTTACCAGTTCCAATGTGAATTAATCATTTGTGGCGTGCACGATTCAGGTCTTTTAGAATTGATGTTAACAAAAGCTGCCCGGTTTTGGGAATACATTTTTTAAGTCTGTGTTCATAATCCACAAAGATGAGGGGTACTCTTTTAGACATTGTAACAGTATGTTTTTTGGGATGAATTGTAAGACCTGTATGTTTGGTTTATTGCAAGCTTATTATTTTCAAATGAAGTTGTAGTTGATCACTGACGTTCAAGGGTTTATTACATTATGCATTCCTGTTTCAGGCACAATTGATTTCTTGCTGAGCCGCAAGCCACAAGCACAACAGGCAAGAGAGATGTTCATCTTCAAGATCGTCCCTATGCTCAATCCTGACGGAGTTTTAAATGGAAAGTATGTTTCATCATGTGAAGGAGTTCCTCATTTTTTGTTTTACTTTTATAATGATAATAATACAGTATAACACAGATAAGTCGAACACAGAAAACTTGAAATCACGCATCTGTTGAAATGTGCCTGGAGTCCCCTTTTTTTTTCTTATTTATCTTTGAAAGATATCCCTCGAACTATGGATCCCTCGAACTACCGAGGCCGGTCCCGACAAATTTGAGCTCTGCGTGTTGTACTGTAGATAGCATTTGAACGGCGCAAAGTCCTGCTCAACAGCAAGCTCTATGCTCTTTACAATCTATATTATTATCCCAGCTCACCTGGTAGCATTTTGAAATGGTCTCAACTTTCTGGGAAGTATATAGTGCAAGCTGCCATTTTTTAAAATAATTGCTAAAACACTAACATACTGACAAGATCTTTTGCTTTATAGAGATAGATTACAATTCTGGAAAAGAGTTTTAGTGTAATATGTTGCCAGTGCAGCTCTTGAAATGTGCTCTGTTGACATCTGATAACATGAAAAATTGTTTGTCCTTTTTTAAGGGAAACGTGTCTATATTAGCAGTAAAATTGTGAAAATGTGATTAGCTCATTTACAGTACAGTTGTGTGATGTAATGTATCAGGTTTTGTGCTCATTGTGTACTTAATTTGGACGCAGGGTACAAAGTTGATTGTTGATTTTAGTCACAGATCGTCTCTAGTTGGAGAGGATCTGAACCGACGCTGGGCGAAGCCGTGCTCCATTCTTCATCCTACCATCTATCACACAAAGGGTTTACTACTTTATCTGAATATGATCAACAAAACACCTATGGTAAGATGTGTGTAGGTTATTTGTTTTAGTAAAAGTTTTACGGCACTTCCAAAAGAATTAAGTCATATAAATGCCAAAGATAAGAGGTGTTACCAGAGAGTAACACACGAAGAAATGAAGTAGGAAAGATGAGGAAGAGGGATGTTTGATAGAAAAGAACCACCCAGCCAACACAACTGTGAGTGATGTAATTTATTGACCAACAGTCCTAATAACTTGTCAAAGACAACCGCACAAATCTCTTATTGTTTGATGCATAGCCATAAATCACCTGGAGGGAATGTATTAAAAAAAAAAAATGTAACAACATAACACCCCCCCTCCCCCCACCAACCACCCTTTTTACCCTCCTTTCAAAAGAAAAAAAATCATTTTAATAGGCTTTGTGGCGGCCTGCGACCAACTTCTGGTGAGAGCCTCTTAAGGGATTTTTTATTTTTTTGGCTTCATTTTCTGCTGACCTGCCCAAGACGCTTTCCTTTCAAAGATCACTACTTTTTTCTTGGACAAATGGTCGTCATCTTGGATTGGTTCTATTGTAAAAGTAAACCAAGATTGAAAGATTGCTGAGATATTCTAGGGGGGATGGGTTGAAGAAGCCTTGCCTTGTCCTTACACAGCACAAGATCGTTCGCTGTTAATGAAATGCTTACAAAGGTTTAGTAAAAGTAAAGATCTTTTCTGTCACTCCGATATCTCTGCTGTGTTTGTGAGAAGTATGTACATTAAATATGGGGTTGTTTTTTTTTCACGTCTCCAGGTCTACTGTGACTATCATGGGCATTCAAGGAGGAAAAACATCTTTATGTACGGTTGCAGCCCTGCTCAGTCCTGGATTGCTAATGATACTCAGAACCCAGTGTGCACAAATGGAAAAATGAATGACACAAGTTTTAAGGTAGGCATCTTTCTGTCTGGGACATACCATAAGACACTGATTCGATACACTTTAAATAAACTATTACTGTAGTTGTTTTTATGATGGTGATGAAGCATGGGGGGTAGTGGATGGGGTATAAATCTCTCTCAACAGGTCAACATACGGATTCGCACAATACCTACCCAGTTCTTTAAATTGAAGGCGAGCTTAATTAGTATGCATTGTTATATACTCACTGGGTTACAATATGATTCCTTTTATTTCATTCAAATTGCTTGTCAGCTTTGGTCCTTATACAACTGTCAAGCAGTATATTGGCCTCACTTGAAAGTATATCGTGGTCATGTCGGGGAAAATGAGAGTCTTCACCTATTGTAATCCCTGTAAAGCAGAAAGAGTTTCTAATTTTTTTTGCTGCCGCAACAGTAATCTTCCTTTATTTCCTGAGGCTGTCTGCAAAATTAACTTTGGACTTGGACGTCTGATCGGCGTAAGACTCCACCATGTGCCACTGTGGAAAGTGATGTGTGATGGAGTCTTACACTGAGCAATCAAAATACTTTTGGCCAATTTTTTGGAAAAGGGTTCTGAAAAATCATTGCAAGAAAAGCAATTCTCAAATTTTTGAAAGACATTTGATTATAATTTTTAGCTAAGGCATTTCATAACTTAAATGAGCTTACTCTTGAAGGCTTTGAAAGCGTGATGTCTCCCACAACTCAAACTGCAAATTAATGTTTTACTATTCTCTCTACCCGTCAGGCCCTTCCCCGCTTACTTCACAGCAGCTGCCCCTCCTTCTGTCAGCAAAACTGCAGCTTTGTTGTGGAGCGAGTGAAAGAATCCACGGCACGAGTCGTGGTCTGGCGACACATTGGGGTTGTCAAGTCCTACACAATGGAATCCAGCTACTGTGGTTGTGACCAGGGGAAGTATAAGGTATTGTGGAATGATGCCTTATTGAAATAAGCACATGGGGGAGGGATGGGGTTGGATACAAGCCCATTTCTTCAACTGCTTTCAGTTTACAAACTTTTAAATAATTTGTTGCTTTTTTCTGTGCTTTTGATTTTTTTTCATTAGGTGTCCCTCACAGTGATAATAGCAATTGGGAAGATATGAATTGTGTTTAGATGTAGGCACTCTCCATATTGCTTCCTCATTACCCGTTACATCCATTTGATGTTACAGCTGATTGGAGTACAAGTTGATTTTTTAAAACTTTTGAACCTGAGTAAAAGTGTTCTATATCAGGTGAAGGTTTCATACAAAGGTGAAAGACTGATTGAATATCACACTAACTAAATTAGCAGGCACTCTTGTTCCAAGTTAACATCTTTGCCAGATGGGGGCCCAGGACATGCATGGCTATCGTTCCTTTTTTCTCTCTCTTCTAGCTATCAAGTATTTATCTGAAGCTGGGTGAACAGAGGGAAGTAGGAAACTGTATGTTTTGTAAGGATACAGTATCCTCCAAGTCCGCATGGGGAAACTAAGTCAGAATCAGATCTCTTAATTGTCAGCCTGGCACCTTCACCATTTGAATGAGACTAATAGGGCTGTTATCTACACGTTCAAGCATTCTGAAAGTTACTCAATCATGAATGCAAAGTTATGTTCAAGTCATATTTTAAAAGAAACATATACACTGGTATGTGTTTCAGAATTTTAGAAATTAATTACCAGTGGTTCATTTGTCCACACTGAAGCATATGTCCTGGAGGAATGGGTTATTTATTATTTTCTTTTTTATCTTCATGTTTAAGTTCCCCTTGTTCAAGCTCAGGGGTAACTGACTGCAGGTTATTTTTATCTTATGGTTTTAACCAGAAATTTCAATATCTGTCTTGACAAAATCAAACGCGTTCCATCTTTTTTTTTTTTACCCAGGACATGCACATGAACACCAGCATGCTGGAAGAGATGGGTCACAAGTTCTGTGAGACTCTGGTGAGACTAGCTCGACTGAAGGGTGCCTACGACCAACAGATGCCTAACCTTGACCCTGACTCGGGTCTCACTGGAGCTATGGCGGAAGAATATGGGTAAGATCGCCTGATTCTATTGAAAGGGTGTAGCTCTGATGCTTGTTTCATCACTATGTAGGTTGTTGAGCAGGTAGAACCCGTCACAATTAATGCCTCTTCTTTGATTGCTCGGTATGGAGAACATTGAAGCCGGGAAGAAAAAAAACCCCTGGTTTTTAAAAACTGTTGTTCTGTTGTTTGAGTGGAGAGATTTGAAAACTTCTCAAGTGTCAAGAATGCTTCGCTAGGGATTCAGACAGGTTCATGCGCACTGTAGACAGCATTCCTACTGTAAGCACTGATTTTCAGCTAAGCTGGTTAGCTAGAACACGGCAGTCTCATGTCTCAGTGTTACTGGATTTGCAGGCTAGATCTAGCCTACTTTTGACGTATTTTAGATCCTGGATCTTCTAATGTGTCTCTTTTTTCACTTTACTCATCGCCCATCTTACTCATAATCTCGTAAACTTGCACATCTAAGTCAGAAAATGAACATTTTCAGCCTTTTTAAAGTGATATTGGTATTTATGTTCTGCGAGAGCAGGTGGTTGTCCGCAAGACTAGACCTGTGTTTATCATTAACAAGCCTGGCAAATGTGGTACAGATATGGGCATTTTTAATTCCCAAATACATATCTACGCAGGCATTTTCCTTAACCTCCGTACAGAAGAAGTAGAGCCAGGTGATCCGTGTGACATACAAGTATTGTCATACAGGCACCCAGGAGAGGTAATTTTGGCAACTTCCGTGACGTCCATGGTACGGCACAAAGCTAAAAATTACGCTTTTTAAAATGTACCTGGTATGCCATATAAGGCAGCAAAGGGGTTAAGGTTTATTTTCCTGTCAAGTTTTTATTGAGTTTTTGATAACTTATCTAATTAATTTTTTTTGTCTGTTGACAGTGATGACCTGGCAGCTGGAACCAGCAGGGTGTTCCAGGGCAAAGATGATCCGCTCAACATGGAATCTCTTCTGAATGCTTCTGAATCTGATGATGATGACGATGATGAGGATGAGGAAGAGGAATTTGATGATGACCTATTAGATCAATAACATTTCAATTTCAACATGTTGTTTCGAATGATGAGGGTGAAGATGAAGGAAAGGAATTTTGTTTTGACCTCTAGACTAGTCACTTTCAAGCTAAAACTAAAGTGTTTGCTTAGGAATAATGGAAATCCTGTCAGTGTTTAGTGGTTTGCACTATAGTGGTGTCTGCCTAGCACTACTAACAGCGACCCCATTGGGAAGCAGCTCTTGTTTGTTGTTAGGCGGAGATTGTGGCTAAATGAATTTTCAAAAGGGGAGGCATCCACTTATTTCAGACATGTACCGGTACTTACAATGTGCGCTCACACGTGCATGAGTCCTAATCACTTGTTGTGGTGATGTTGCTGCATCAGAAAGTGACAAAATAGGCAGCATCAGCTTTCAAGTGAGCCAATGTTCATTACAGGGCAGTTATGTTACATACAGTAATTAAGACCCCCAACTAGTAGACTTCAAGAAAGACGGCTCATGACGAGAGGGTGTGAACTGATCTCCTGTCCCCTGTGTAGTGTATTTTTCGCCAGAGTATGTGTTGTGAGGAGATAGACGAAAGGAGGAGGGATGCATTCACTATGAAATTATAGGTAATTCTTGTTGTTAACACTGTTCTGAAATTGTCTAAAAAAATTTTGTCAGATAGATATTAGCAGCGAAGGTTACTGTTGGAGGAAAATGCTGTCAAGGGAATATTTATATGTGGGAAAATTCCATTTTGCATGACATGTTTAGGTTGCTGTTGTACAGAGGTTGCTCTTATGTTGGTTGTTGTTTAGTGGACACCACTGCAATTCATTTTCCTCATCTGAAATATCTCAATCTGTTTCCTAATTTTGTCCTTCGGTTGTTCAGTATCTGTGCCATTTCCATGCTATTAAGTTGATAGTATACTTGTATGTTAGTCCATTACTTCAGACATACTGAAGGATGATAGTTCAAGTCAGGGTCAGTACAGTACTGTGGAGATATTTTGTTTGTTACGTGTTTTAGGGATGATAAGTCAATTACAACCAGCCGGCTTGTTAGTCAAATGCGACTAAGAGTAAATTCTACTGATTTTTATGTGCCTTTAGATCATCTTAAAACAAACATGCATTTAGACCTGTGTTCATAGTAGCTGTAGTACAAGCTCATCATAGCGTGCTTGCAAAAATCTAAAACTTAGTTTTTAGACTGTGATAGATATATGTCATGTTTTGCATCAACTTTTGAAAGTCAAATCATTTGTAAGAATTTTTTTCATGACTAGGCAAGTGTCAGTTTCTTTGTTCTTAGTCTTGGAGGCAGTGATCTTTTTTTTTTTACTCTGAAGTGTTGAGAGTGCAAAATACAGTAATGGATATTATCTGTGGAAACAAGGTGTATGTAAATGCTGACTGAGGGGGTCATATGGTTTCCTTTGTTTCAGTACAAAATATACCTATAGTATTGATTTAGTTATACGTTAGTCTCCGCCTAAACGCAAGGTGCTCGGGAGGGCTCCTTAGAGTGTATTTATACAGAGCATGCATTTACATGAACCTGTGCATAGGGAGGAAAGGACGCAATCATCTCAATTCCTCGATATTCTAGTGACCGCCCTTGGGGGTGAGGGTCACTTACGCCGATTATGTGACGACACGTGACTTTTATTAAGGATTCCCCGACTGCGGTTAAGAATAATGGGTGGGGGGGGGGGGGGGGGGGGCAGCAGAAAACAGACTCAACGTAATGAATGCACCGTAAAATGTCGGGAACAGATAGCCTAAGAGGAAACTGTTGGTGATAGTCTTACAGATGACGGCCCAGCCACATGGCTTTCCAAGCGACCACCCCCGACTTTAAATTCATGAACAACATCAGAGTCGTAGATCTCTACATTCAGAGAAACATTTCTTTTGTTATTCATTGAACGAGTATGTTATAAGTTCTTCAAGCGCAGCTGACTAGGCTTACTTGACTATAGACTTATAGAGGCCAAGCTCGTGTTTTACAACATTCACGCTTGTTGCACATCACAGGCCTAAGTCTAACTAAACATTACATACTGTCACCCACACCCCAGTCAGAAACCTTCTCTCAAAGATGCCTTTCCAGTTACCAACCAAAAGACATTTTAGTCCCCCAACCCCCAGGCATTTCACCGACTAGTCGTAGACCTGTGTGTCTGTGGAAAGTTGAGTGTGAAAATGCTGTCCATCACTCTCTTTGTTCAGCATGAGGGGTAGTCTCACCAAATATCCGGTTTTCTAGGTTTGTCTTATGCAAGCTGTGTAGGGTGCAGCGAAAATTTCCCCATGTCAAGCTTTACCTGTCGGTGTGTTTCGCGAATTGAAGCTTGCGTTTAAAGAAGTGACCGTGCGTTTGTACGTCTAGATTATAAAGTAAAAAAACTGTCATATGACGAAAGTGCGTTTGAGCAGAGCATGCTTTTACTTTTATGTGGGGTGCGTTTAGGCAGAGACTACTGCAATTCATATGACACTCTGAAGTTGAAACGTATTTTTGGAAAATTAATTTTGAGCTGATAACAGAATATCGTGAAAATAATTTGATAGTAATCAATAATGCCTACTTCTGACTTATACAAATTATGTCCTTATAATGGATGTATAAAAGAACGGAAGTGATTGCGGCCACAGAAATTGGAGTGGTATGTGTAGTGTGAGCCTTTGATCTGGACGGCATGGAAACGAGGCAATGTTGTTTTCGCCTTTGTCGCAAGATGTTGAGTTGTTCATCCTCCCTAGCCTTTGCTAATCCCAGGACGGGGGTCTGTTGTGTAATGGTTAGGCTCTTTGTAGCTTTGCATGCATCTATCGGATTCCTGCGTGGGGGAGTTATTTTATTGAATGTCTCGTCTGTCTGTTGGGATGCCGCATCCCTCTCAGCCAGGTTTGGCCAATTAGTCTGGATTGAAGCAGCACTTTTCCTCTACTCTATGGTCAAAATAGTGTTGATGGGGGTGTAAAACAATTCTCATAAAGGCTTCCGTTTGCCTTAAGTCTAGGGACCTGTAGAGGTCATTGTGAGTTCCTTGTGTTTTATAACATTGTGTTTATTAGACGTGTTTGAGAATTTGCTCCACTGTGTTCATACAGCATGAAGTATAAAGACAGTTATCTGTTGAATTAGCTTTAATTGAGGCTCACTCAACTTTTTGAGTGGTATTTTGAAACGAACCTTTTTTCTCAGAGTAACCTTAAACAAGAAAGGTAACATCCGTAAAAAACTTGTATATTCTTTATTTTATTATTTGGGGTTTTCTTTTGGTTTAAAAATAAAACCAGTTTGATGACCCAGCTGTAATTTCTATGAAACTTTTGGCTGTGGGCCATACTGGCTAAAGAAATGGAAAACCTATTGGCATTATCATGTCGTAAGATAGGTTATCACATGTAAGTAAATCAAATTCTTTATATCCCCCCCCACCTCAATGACCTCGAAAGGTTAATATTGTGCTCAAAATATAAAATGGCGTGGAAAATGTCAAAATAATGCATTACAGTGGAACTCGGATTCAACGAGAGGAGATAGATTCCCCGTTTTTTTCCTTCTTTAAAATCAATAAAAATAACCCGGATTCAACGAGCACTTAAATCAGCGAGCTCGGATTCAACGAGGTCGCTTCCAGGGTGAACAGCCCTTGCAGACGTGGCTTCGCTCATTTTTCTCCCAGAACGAACTTTATCTATTCCCGGAAACCATCTGTTGCACCATCTTCGTGAACTATTATTCACTTAGCAGATTGCATGTGACTAATCAGCAGACTTCTTTCATACCAACACATGCATTATTGGCACATCCAGGTGTCTACTCCGGCATGCGTCAGGGTCGGATGGGCGGCCTGCACACGTGTGACTGTGTGTGCGTGTCAGGGAGGGAGCACCAGCGATCCGGGCGTTGAACGTCGCAGATGCTAATGCGTCAGTCTTTTTTTTCTCCCTCGGCAACTGATCATTATTTCAATGATAAGCTAGTCTTGACGTAGAACTACGTAATGAATTGTGCGCTGGTCTATGGAATCAAAAGTTGCCGTTTGCTAGGCTCTACACAGCAACACAACTTTTTGGCAAACAATCCAGATGACACAGGCGTTCATTTGAACGAATCCGCCTTTTTTTTACACAGCTCATAATATGCAGGCATTTCAGGCGCTAGAGTCTACTTTTTACTTTTATTTACACATTATTTGCTCAGTGGCTGCAATTATCTACACAAAACCTCATGTTTACTATAACGAGCACTCGGATTCAACAAGATTTTAGGTCAGGCCCGGCGACCTCGTTGAATCAGAGTTCCACTGTATCAGTATCATTTGTAGTTGAGGAAAATCCTTAGTAAAAATGAAGAAGGCTGAAGACTGAAGAAAAAATAAATCAGAAGTGGGCTTTTGAATTAAAACATTTTTCAAGAAGAAAAAAAATCTATAAAATATAAAAACAAAGATCTATTGTTTATGATGTCATTTTTCAGTTCTTTCTGCGAAAAGAGTACAGATTAAAGAAACGAAAAATGTTTGCCGTTTAGGGTACAATACATAAAAATGGGGCATTGATATTTTGACTTGAGATAGCCGTAACTTGTTGCCAATTCTCAAATATTTTGTTAGACATTTGATAAAAAATTAATTATTACCTTGACTTGACTTCTAAAATGTTGTCCTTTGGTGTTGTAATTTTTGTGATGATGAAAGAGAATCTACCTCCCCGTGCCTGTGATGCAACTGCTATGGCAATTCTTGTTGTATAGGTAGATGTCATGTTTCATCCATTTCTTCTTAGTTTTGATATATGTGTTTTTTTCCCTTCAAATCTGGCTCCCTACCCCCCCCCCCCAAAAAAAAAAAAAAAAAATTGATTTAAGATCCTAAATTTAAACAGAATTGCTGCTTTGCTTGTCATGTGCCTTCTTCAATTTTGGCTGCTTTGTAGTTTGTAAAGCCTGCAAAATTTTTTTACAACAAAATTCCAAATGAAAGAAGCAGGGAAAACACTGTGTTATAGCTGTGGGGACCAGTTCAGTTTCCCTTCTGCCTGATACCTTTTGGAAAAAGTATTTTCTTATTGCCTCATATTGATCTTTCTGTTTAAGATTTTGCTATGAAATGTATCTTATCATGTGGTGACATTCTATTAATATTTTACAAAATTGTTTATAAATGTGTGGGCATTTTTTTTTTTTCTTTTTAAATCTCCTTTACTTGTTCAAAGCAAACTGCTCATGTATCTTTGTACCGATACTGATACAGTGATTGCGCTAGTTCTATTATAAATGCTTTTGCATTCTACCTTTGTTTTGGTTGTTGTTTCCCCACTAGGAGGAGACTGATGACAGACAGTATGAAAGTGTGGAGTGAAATCATTCATTTGAACCTTAAAACGGGCTCCAATATTTCCTCAGCTACTATTGGCCTTAGACAATCAGATACTGTTTTTGATATAAATATTTTCATTTTTTTGCATTTGCCTTACATCTTAACAATAACAGTCTTGCTAATTTATATATCTACAATACTGTGATCTTCTGTGTGGAATATAAAATCATAATAACAATAACACTGCTGTTACAAAAAAAAAGAATGAGTGACTCTTAATTGTTCTTCTCATCCTGGGAACCAGGTTCCAACTCAGGAGCTGGACATTAATTGTCTTGTGACAAACTAATTTTCCTAATTGTGTTTTTGGAAGCAGACAACAGTCTTTTAAAAAAAGGCAGCATGGCCTAAGAGTTACTTGACTAAAACTATTACTTGATGTCCTCAGTAAATATTTTTCATATATCATTATTTCCTCAGTATTATTAGGGAGAAATGTATTTATTTTTATGATCTTGATATTACTTGAATTTATTGTTATCTCTTCTTAATTTGAAGAATGGGCTAACGTAGTGATTGGTGAATATTTACTGGACATTAGTTAAATTTGAGTATTTAATGTAGAAATGTAGAATCGATTAACAATGACATGAATCCCAGAACTAGAGCACTTCAAGACAGTCTTCCATAGGAAATCCTCCGGTGTTGGAAAGTTATTTTGAAAAGATGGAATCTCGTTTTGTCATTTTCATCTCGCAATGTGTCGAAAACCATTGACTGTCTTCATTATTACTTCCTCTTCATATGTCTGAGGAAGCTATTTAGATTCATTTGTTCATTTTGTTGAAATGGTAACCGAAACAGTACTTATTTTCAGTTCCATAGCATAAGTAAATTTCGAGTTAAGTCTTAGTGCATATTTGTATATTTTTCCTTTGAAAACCAGAATTTACATTATCCTGTTGTTACATTATATCCATGCATTGATTAAACATTTAGAAAATAACTTGAGTGTTTTGTACAGTGTCTTAATAGTAACACTTGTAAAGGAATTACAAGGCCTATTAAGTTGAGCAGCCCAAAAATTACGGGCTTGACTCGGAATGACAGATTGCTGAAATAAAATTTTGGGTCTTAATTTTTAAAAAATAAGGTGCGTATTCTTTTTAAACTTAATTTTCCTGAGACTGAACCGACTCATTGGAAGACTGGAACAAGTTTTTATTTTTTGAGGGACTTAAAGTGGGGTATTTTTCAACTTCAGTGGTCCCAGAAGTTTTCGTGGCCCTCGGATTGCTTTGTTTAGTCCCTGTAGGTAATGAATGTTAAATTAGATTTCCAACTTCTTAACCTCTTCGCTGCCGCGCCTGTAGAATTTACGGGCCTGAACCGTATACCGCTGAGCTTATGGCCCGTAGAATTTACGGGACTGTGACAGTGGTTGTTTTGATACCAGTTATAAGAGAAGTTACTGCTAAAATCTTGTATATATTATCGGGGTACCTTCCCTTTATGTTTACCTCCATTCCCCCCCCCCCCCCCCCCCCCATTTGAAAGCGTTAGATTCAGATTTTAGCTCGAAGAGAAGATTAAATCTAGATCAAACACATCTACCTCACAAAAATGATTTACTGGCAGCAAACACAGATGGGCTTACATGTATATATATATTATATTGATTTTGCGAACGTTGTATAAGGTAGGAAAAGCCTCTTGTCACTTCTTCTTTACCTGCAAGCACTCACACAACGTGCATTCCCCTTTTTTTGGTCTCAGTTTATCATTACTCGAATGTGTGTTGTTCATGTTGTTTGGTGTTGTTGTTTTTGGCATCATGTCATTAACTCCAACTTTTCTTCATCTATCTCTCAATGAAATTCTCCCAAAATTATATAAATAGAAATGTGGTTCAGTATTGAATGTACGTGCAGAAATTGGAGAGGAAATATTCATAAATAAACAAGTTATGGGATGTAGAGTGGGGTCACCCCTGAGCAGCCTTGGTTCATGAGATTTCCCCCGCCACAGGGGCCTATTTACCTGTGGCATTGAAGGGGTTTTATACTAACCCTATCCGTACATCGTGTTTTACTATTGTATCCGACCTTGGGAACTCTGTGCCACCACTTTCCAAAGAGAAAATTTAGTCGTTAATCCGATCTGTATGCTTTGCATAGCAGTCTGTCAAACTAAAATGTGAAGAATGCAACCTGGGGGGTACAAAATGACCCCAGGGCGTATGGATAGGGTTAAAGAACAATTGTATGTTGAAAGGGGTGCAAAACTGAAACCATTCCAGAAACTCAAACCGGTCACTACTGGGCAAAGAGCTTCAAACTCTTAACTTTCAGAGTCATGACGTAAAAGCAAAGCAGGATCATAAATGAAAATACAGTTTCGTCACAGGGTGTGAAACAAAGCTTGATTTTGTATACACCACTTTATGCAGAGAAGGCTGATGACAAGGATTTTTTGACTTCCTCAGGTAAACAGTCATTTAGCCTCTCAGGGATGAGTGTTGCCATGAAAACAACAAAATGGCACAATCCTATCTATTAAAAAACCCAGCACAGCACTTCATCTTCCTTACCATGTAGAACGTCATTAAAAACGAGAAGTATTGTCACAATACTTTGTTTCAAAGATGCAAAACTGTTGGACTATAGGCGTAAGAAGGAACTTAACAAGAAAAGAAATTCTACATTCAAGCAATAAAATTCAAACACAAAAATAAAAACATACAGACTCACGTTTTATTTCAGGAACAAAATGAATTTTGCCTTCAATATTGATTAGAGCATTGCAACACGACAAAAATAATACACACCATTCATTCATGACCAACATGATTAGTTGAGTTAGAAATCCAACATACAAACACTTTCTCTTCAGTTCAGGAAGAAAGCTTAGCATAATTCCTGTAAGCCAACTCTCATTATATATGAAATGTTCCAGCTCGGTCAGTCATTTATGACAATTCACAGCTTCAAAGTAAATGTAACTGTATGTCCTATTAACACATTACACCCTAAGGTTCTGGACCGGAAGTCCATTGTTAGATCCTAAGCAAGGGGAAGGAATCCACCTCCCGTGAATACAAGCCTTTAAAAAATACTAAACAAATTCCAAATATCCTGAAAAAATAAAAGTTAAAATGAAACATGAATGTAGTTTCAGAAAAATATAACTTTATGTATGCGCAAACTGTTGGAAATGTTCTTACTTTAGTTCAATCGGGGTGTCCGACCCGTCACTCTCACTCTCTGGGCCATATATATCTAAATTCTAGATTTTCTACGTCTGATCAATCCGAATCGCCCCAAACTCTTGCTAAAACGTTTTCATCAAAATCTGAGTCATCTGATTTGTCATCTTGTTTTTGCTCAAATCCATCATTATTTCCTTTTTCAAACTCAATTGTGTCGCTTTTCAACAAGTCGAGACACCTTCGAAGTGTCGGTAACGTGATCGCACTTCATTCGGCTCTAATACTGAAACTACTGGCCCAAAAAATTTCGTTTCGGTATCAAACGAAAGAAGAAACTTTTTGCAATACTATGCAAATCAAAATCTCGGCCCCAGAGTCTTGTCAAGGCGAGACTTCATTTTTAAAGACGCTAGGTCGGCACGGGCGGTTCCGGGCGAGTCAGGGTGGAGCGCGTAAGGGATTCCCTGGCGATCACGGACGAGTTAGGGTGTAATGTGTTAAAATAAACCTGGGGGGTGAACAGTCGGCAGTAAACTACATAAAGTCTAAGATCAACCAAACCCACAGGTGTGTTTAAGACTTTAAATCATTTTCTCTAACAATATCAGCTGTCACATTCTAGGACTATTTTTTATATACAGTGGATACCTACACCCAAAGCGTTGCTGAGAAGTTCAACTCAGCAACATAAAATTTCTTTTGAACAATCAATAAGTTCAAAAAGATGTGGCAGTAGTATGCAACATTGTGCTAGATGTAACTTAATATATAACTACAATTTTGTGATAACATTTCAAACAATGTACTGCTCTTCTCTGATAATCTTCTCCACAATCACTCTCTCCGGAATAAAGTCTTGCTTGAGGTGAAGGTCAGTGTCCTTGTCAGTCACTGTTGGTTTCATGTCATAGTCTCGCTCCACAGGGGACAGCAAGAACATCTGAACCAGTCTTCTTATCACATCCTCATTCAGTTCTCTCACCTGGAAACAAACATTTAGATTTAGAAGATGAATATAGAAGGAGAATACAGAGTTGATGAAAATCATCAAGTGTAACTGTACGGTTCACACACTCAAAGGCTGTTAGGCAATGCAGACCTAAACAGCACTATTACATGTACCAGTTTCACAAAAAATCAGGTAGTTGAACGCTTTCACAAATCCTTTCAGCTGTAAACATATGTATCAAATTTATATTGGCTAGATGAGGCCCTACTGCTGAAATTTTTTTTTTTAAAGTAGGTATTTTTATGTCCCCATTACACAATTCTGATCATTTAGGAGGCGGGCTTCCAACCTTACATCTCAGGCCCAACCTTGGCTGAGAGGGATATACAGCATTCCAGCAGAAAGTCTGATACTCAATAAAAATTTTCCCCCACTCAGGAATTTAACATGGATCTTCCATGTCCAACAGCAAAGTGCCAAACTGCTGCTACTGAAATATATTAGCTCAATTTCCAGTCTCCACAAACTAAACATATATATAGGAAATATCCTTTACAAACCTGTCAGCCTAGATCACTGCAAAACACAAGTAATGAATGTCATAGAAATTTTTTTCGCAAGCTGAGGACTGATTTCAATTTGAGAGGAATAAAGTTTTCTCAGCACAGTAACAAACATAAGCATTCTCAAGAGTTTATAAATTTATTGAAAGAAAGCAAAATTTTAAAACGTTTGCTTTTTTCATAAGCTCCTCTTCTGTTTCTGACTTTGAAGGCTCAGAAGTCTAAAATGAGGCCTGCCCATCAAAATCTAAAGAAAAAGGATGAGACATACCTGGCCATTATCGATGCTGTGGTAAAGGGGCATCTCTGGTGTGTGCCAGCAGAGGTTCACCAATCCATTTGCATCATTGTCCTGCCAGAGCTCTAAAGTGTTGAGCTGGTACATCAAGAAGGAGAAACTGCGTCCATCTGACAACACGGTCTGACAGGTGAGGGGGTACGTCATGTCCACCACATCGCTGAAGCCTGGTGGATGTACAGTTGTATCATTCACTCACTGTTGTGATTATTATTTTTCATTTTGACTGCTTAGAGTAAGACTGCAATACGCCATTTTGAAAGTGATGTTTGACAGAGTCTTGTACTGAGCAGCTGATTTGAATGGAAGCAAGAAAAGAAAAAGACCTTCAAATTTGAGACATTAGCAACAAGAGACAAAAAAAGTGTGATATGTGTTGAATTTAATGCTATTGCAATGAGAAGTTTATAAACCAGAAGCCATATACAAAACGAGGACGAGTGTGCTTTTGTCTGAAAGTGGGTGGTTTGAAGTAGGGGTGAAGGGTTGGAAGAGAGGGAAAGTCATTTGAATTTAAGTGAAGACAGTTATTGTCAAGCGCCTTTACTAATTGACCCCTTTTAGACTAGACATTCAATCAGGGAGCATGAAAGAAGTATGAGAGACATTGAAACAGGTAGACGTTGTCCACGACAACCTAAAAATATCCTGAAAAAAGAATCCGACTTCTATAGTAGTTACCTTGATTAAATGTCTGAGCAGCGAGCCATGTGAAGGAACTTGTAAGACCCAGTGCTAGCCGGCTCTGTTCAGCCACAGTTCTGTTATATTTTTCTTCCAACTCATTGGTCTCACAAGTTGACAAGAAACCCAGCATACCAAACTCACATGGGTCTCCAAGTTTATGACCTGGAGATTGGATTGAAAAACTATAAATATTACGATCTTTAAAATATTAGAGTACTAACAGTTGGCAATTTGTTATATTTTGATTACAGAACACAAAAAGCAAAAGATATGACTTATCAGTATCAGAAGCCTAAATGATGTCTTTTCCTGTCAATTCATGAGGAAGCTAAATGTGAATCAATTTCAAGGGGACAAATCAAACAAAAACTAGATAGTTATGAAAATCTTTAGCCACTTGAAATAAATATATTGCAACCAATAAAAGTATGTGATGTATAGCACTGCATTTCACTGGGTAGAGCACATAACATCAACTAAAAAGGTAGATTAATAATATTGAGTCCAACATCTTGACCTAAGACAATAAGACTTTCTGGTTACAACATAAAAGTGTAATAATAGAAATTATAATATACATTCTAAGCTGCAATGATGGCCACCTGTACAAAAGGCTACTTTTTATCTCCCCCCCCCCCCCCCCCCCCCCCCTCGTGTTTTGAAAATTAAATTTTACTGTGTAAAACGGACATCAGTCTAACGCTATGGTGTCCACCTCATTTTAAACGATCAATCGAAATTACCTGTCTGAGATGGCCACTCTCATCACCAGACTCTTTGTCAATAATTATGTATTGTGACCCCTGATGTTGTGGACGAGCCGTCATAATCTATTCACCAGTTTCGTTAGTCTCTCAAATGTCCAATCATGTTGGGTAGGTCCCATCCACTGTTGTTTACCCAAGTTGATTACCCAGCAACGATAATTTTTCAGCTGCTCGCAAAGGAAGCATGTGGTTCGTCATAACCCATAAACCCCGCCCACAACTCATACACAAATGGTAAGTGAGGTGACCCATCACTATCCAGTCTTTAACAATGGACATGAACGTGAACTTGCTACAGAAGCATCACTCATTCTCCGAGTGGTTGTGACCCATTTGTATATTTTACCTCTTCTTCATCGTCTGACACTTTTTCCATTTTGTTCTATCCTTGCACACTGTCTTCCTCATTTGATACACTCTACACTGTAGAACTGAAAACTTATTACGGCAGTCGTGAGACTTCATCTCACTGTGCTTCATCTCATTGTGAAAACAAAAATGTTTTACATATTTAGATAAATCAGACTGTTGATGACGGCATCAATGTACAACATATAAATGTAACCCATGTCCTGAGCCTTCAACCAACCCCAGTTGGGAACTGACAAGGGAATGTTTAAAAAACAACAACCCCCTTCCCATTACCCCCCCCCCCCCCACCTAAAAAACCCAACCCATAACAAAACCAGCAACAACAACAACAAAGACCCCCACCCCCATAAAAAACAACCAAAAAACAAAAACAAAACACCCCCCCCCCCAAAAAAAAACAAAAAAACAAACAAACGCATATCAATTAGTCTAACGGTCTAACGACAGTCCTAAGCCTGTAACCACCTCCGGTTGGGACCTCAAAAGGGAATGGTTTACTTTCTTCATTTTCATCAGTCCTGCCAGAGACGGCCACTTTTCTCCTCGACAATAAGAGGCCTTCTTACACAGGTTCGACTGTATAATTATAATTACCATTTATTATAGATTTGGTACGCACCTTTAACACGAAGTCACAGACGGAAAGACCAAAATAACATTTCAGTTAGTAAATTATATGGCGACATAGACATGGGAACTGAAATGTTTTGTAAAACAATTTTACAAATCATAAGGATAAATGTGATTAGTCATTTTCATCTTTTTGGCATCTTCTTTCTGCACTCAAATCTCAAAACTTTATGGATTGTCATTTAAAACAAAAGATCATTTGGAAAAAAAATATTTGTACCTGCAGATATGCTTTTTAACTGCTGCCGTGGTGAATGGCTATGCCCATAGCTGCTTGTTCCATACAGGAGCTCAGGGGCTGGAGTACTTGTACACAGCTCATTGTGCCTTGACTTTACCTACAAGTAAGACAGGCAGAATATTTTATAAAACACAATTTTCACTTCAACACAAATTTCAAGCTTAGGCTTGAAAGTCTCCATGATGCCGATCAGCTCATATCATACAAAAGCTTCTATTCAGCTCTCAGTAACTGAAACTAATTAATTTCTGATAATAATATTAATAATAAAATAAACAGTAATTATAATAATTGTTTCATAATAATTGTATATATGGGGGGGGCTCTCATGGCCTACAGGTTAAGGTGTTGACCTCTCATTCAAACGTCCCAGGTTTGAATCCGGGTAGCGACTGAAAAATTTTCTTCTAAAAAATTGTCTCCTTTCACCTCCTTTCCTGCTCTCTAGCAATGTTCTGTCATCTGCTTTCGTCTCCTCTTTCTGCCCCCACTCCCTCACCTCCTTTGCCCCCCTCCTCTGGGCTCTTGACTCTTTCTACAGCCTTTCTACTGCTACTCCTTGGCTTCTTCTTACTGCTGTCTTTCAGCCACACCCTGATCTTCTGGTAGGAAAGATCTACACCTCTAGCCTTCTCGCACAAAGGCGAAAAATCTCGGAGGGTCCGTGTGTAAGTTGCGCACATTAAAGATCCCTTGGTGGTCTAAAATCGATAAGAGTAGGCTCCAGCCATCACGCGGGCAAAACTAAAAAATTCCTACAAACTGAAAATTTTAATGTGTCCCACACGCTCATATGACCTTATATATGCAATTCTTGACAACAATCCACATGTTACTTTTTGAGGAGCAAAAGTGGGACTAATCTCACAGAAACCTTGGTCATATTCAAATGTTCATTTAAGATTCGTAAAACTGATTCAATGCTTAGCCTAGTTTCTTTGCTCAATCGTTCGACTGTCACCCGTCAATCATACAACACAAGTTTCTTGATTTTCAACACATTCTCTTCTGTTGTTGCTGTCACTGCACGACCATCTTCAATGTCCATGAATACGCATTTGAATTTTTTAACACAAAAATTTTATCACAGCATAGGATGGGCAATCAGTCCCATATGCGGCTTGCATCTCCGCAAGAATATCCTGTAGTTGCTTGCCTTGCGAGAACAAACACTTCATTACTGCCCTGTGCTCAATTTTCTCCATGTTTACGTTGAAACTGGAGAACAACATATAGATATCTACACCCATTCACTTACAGTGCGCTGGTGTTAAATCCAGTTTTCGGAAATTCCCGAAAATTAAGATGCATTCCAGAAAGATGATTGTTGGCTTTCACCCCAAATTTCAGCTTTCTACCTTTAATCTTTCATGGTCAGGTAAAAAACTTTTGGTATGCCCCTAATTACAGTATGATGTGCACAGCCAAGCTCTATACAACATGCTTTATCATAACTCTATGCATGCGCTTTACAAAACCATTACAGTCCATACCGGTTCTAAGCACCGTCATTGGGAGAAAGCATAAGCCTACTTAATGCCCAAGCGTGCTTGAGTGCGAAGTAAACACTGTCATGAGAAAGATTTTAATGCACAAAATTTTCAGAGTTATTTCCCCTTGTTCACAAGGAGTGGTCGCCCAAAAGAGTGCGCTGTCATTTTTACCTGCCATGGTAGTTTTTGTTTGTTTTGTTCTGCGGTCGAAAGGGAAAGGAAAACTTAATTTAAGACGGCCATTCACGATACAGCACACTAGGCCTACACACTGCCTGTGCGCACCACTGGCCGCTGAGCCACATTCATACCAGGCCTTCATCCCACCTCACGCGTGATACATAGTCAGGGTTATCGGATAGTGAGGGGCAAAGGTGAAATCGCAGCCAGCCTCCCTTTCCCCCCCCCCCACTCTCTTAGTATTTTTCTTCTTCTGTGTGTAGCTTTGCCCTAGGCTAGATCCTATGTCCACACGCACGACAGTGTGCATCTATATACATTGGGTGTCGCATTCAATGAGGTTACATTCAACGAGAAGTCGGCTCCAAGGAGGCAATCCTTAATTCCCGATTTTTTCCTCTATATATCTCTTTGTAAATGTACGTCAGCTCCAACGAGGTAAACAGACAGAGTCGCTTTGAACGAGGTCGCGATAACCAAATAAAAGCAAAATAATTAGCTGCCCCAAAAGCGAAGAATTTTTCTCCTTTCTGTCCATCTCATGAAAAGAACAAGGCCCATCCTTGATTCATAACACATTCTATTGCTAGATCTAGTGTGCCTCCTCCTAATATTATTTTATGGGCCCGAAAGCCAAAAGGATGGGCGAGGGTTAGCCTACGGTAGGGATGGGAGGGGGTGGGTGGGAACGTGATGCGGGCTGTGTGAAACTGGATGAACTCTGGATGGGTAGGTCTAGATCGAGACCTTCATTTTTTTCAATTTTCTTTTCTTTCCCTGATCAGAAAATCCAAGCTCCCGCCTTTACTTTTTATGTAGATCTAGGTCTACATAAAAGAGGGTATGTTTCCAATCGAGAAGTCTTCCAAAAAAAAAAAAAATTTAAAAATGCAAAAAATGACGGTCAGAACACAGCTCAAACACGCGCACACTGATGCTGTTTAAGATTTTTATCATCAGGGGCAACAACTGTTTTACTAGTATTGGTACATCATGTAATACAGTCAAACCTGCCCTGACGGACACCTCTATAAGACGGCCACCCGTACAAACGGCCACTTTCCATTTCCCCCCGTGCGTTTTTTCTATATAATTTAACTGTATAAAACGGTCACCTGTCCAACGCGGCCGCTGCCACCATATTTTAACACACAACTCCTATCACACTATGCAATAACACCTGTCTAAGACAGCCACCTTTGTGACTCCATTACGTTTTGTCATACATTGTGCATTGGCCCCAGGCGTTGTGGGCGAACCGTCACAATTCAATCACCTGTCGTTGTTGTTAGGTAGTCCCTCCAACCGATCATGTTGAGTAGGCCCCTCCCACTGTTGACCAATAGCAACCAATTTTCAGCTGCTGGTGAGGTAAGCGTGTGATCCCTCATATAACCCATAAGCCCCCCCAGAACTCATACACAAATCGTAAGTGAGATGAGTGGTCACTGTTTACCCAGTCTGTAACAAAGCAACAAAGGACGTCAACATGAACTTGTGACAGAAGCGTCGCTCGTTCTCCGAGTGGTGGCGACCCATGTGCTTGTTTTAACGTGGCACTCGGTCTTCCTCGTCTGATACATTTAATTTTATTGTCACCCTTGTGAAAAATCAGCAATAAAATAAAAATTACAAACAAAATACAAACCACCACCACCAACAACAACAACATCAAAAACAACAACAATGCGGCTACTTTCGATTGGGACCTCAGATGGGAATGGTTTGTTTTCTTCATCTTGATCAGTCCTGCCTAAGACGGCCACCTGTCTTATACGGCCACTTTTCTCCTTGACAATGGGTGGCCGTCTTACACAGGTTTGACTGTATAATTATAATTCTCCTTTCTTTAAAGACTTTAAATAACCTTAGCTTTAGTCACGTTCAACGAGAGGTTGAATCCAACCAGGACAACAAGCTGGTCCCTGCTACCTTGTTGAATGCGACACCCACTGTATGCCTTCCGCTCCGCGCGTGTGAGTGTGTGTGTGTGTGTCCACTTGCATTCTTGGTGTTTCTCTTACCACACTCAACTGCTGCGGTGTAGACTGTGTTCGAACTTTGATAGGTCACCATGAAAGTATTGACTGTCTTGTAAACAAAGCGTGCCTGAAGCCCAAGTAACCGTGCTTAAAGGCGTGTAATAATTTGTATAGCAAAAATTCAGTAAGAACCGTTTAGAGTGCTAGAGTCCGAAACGTGCTTTCTGCCAGCGTGCTTAAAGCCGGCACGGATTGTATTACCCCAGCATTTTCCCAGAAACATTCTCCGTTTCCTGGGATCAATACAGAAGTACAGTGCAAGCTGCGAACTGCATTAAATAATATATATATATATATGACATATTGGCTCAAACACTAACAAACTGACAAGACTTGACCTTTCGCTGTCTGTAGTGGGGTACCCGTTCTCACCTGGGTGAAGCGAGAAAAATTTAAGTAAAGTGTCTTCCCCAAGGACACAATGTCGGGTACCTGACAGGATTCAAACCCACGACCTTACAGTTGCGAGTCCAAGAGCCTAACCAAGGCAAACGACGCCTTCAGAACTTTACTTTGAGAGATGAATTAAGGGAAAAAATATAATATCTTTGTTTGAAACCAAGCTACAGTGGTAAATAGTGAAGTGGGCATAAAAGTGACACCAATATTGGTAAAACCAAAGCACTACATCAATCATATAATTTATGATAATAATAGAGGATCACTCCCAACAAAAGAAAAATGTTGAAAAGTAGCCTAGGCCTAGACTAGACCTACCAACCCAGATGGATGTTTGAAGTATTCTTGATTGAAAAGCAGCTTTACTTTCCCCAAAGTACAGTAATGGCAATGGCACTACTCACATAAGAAATTGAATTTGGAATATTGACCTAAAGTTGATTGTTTGGATAGTGGTACTCACTTGTGGTAGTGGATGATGGTGGCGCAGCATGGCATCAAACACGATTTTAGACATGACTGTTTGATCCATTTTAGAGATAATATCCAGCATATCTTCTCGAGTTGAATATTCTAAATCACCTTCCTGTTTTTCCCTCTCTATACCTATTCGATGCCATAAAGCCCTGACAATAACATCTTCATCGTACTGACACATTCTCAAGTGTTCATAGTCCTTCCAGGCGTGGGTAGTTATTGCATCTGAGATGCAACGGAACAGCAATTTGCATCTGAAACTATTATGTTTTGAAGGGTGTGTTTGTTCCCTTGCTACAAGTTCATTTTCTGTGATGAGATGTTCACTCACGACTTGCTTAATTCTTTCAACAATTGACTCAACATGCTCCGAGTGCAAGTTGTCGTGAAGGTCAGCAGAATGAGGAGAGTGATCCAAGTTTGATGATGATGAAGCCTTGCTGCTTGTCCATGGAATAAGATGTGTTTTGGTGACATATTGTCGAAACGGTAAACATGATGGATGCTCATTAACAGGTTCGAGGACAACAGAATCAGTCTCCTTTTGTAGTAAAATATTTTGCCTGTCTGAGACTTTAGGTATACTCAACACCTCGCCCTTCAATGAATGCCACATCCAGGCATAAGAACGATCTGTTTTGCCCCATGAGCCTTCGGGATATTTGGGCTTGATCGGTGGATATTCCACTGTTTCCTTGGTGCCCTTTTCAATTTCCAGGCTGGTTCCAACAACAGTACTACTAAACCAACACTTTTTGGGTGGACAATTCCAACTAGATCGCGGTGGAACGACCCTGCAGACACCATGAAACCCTCGTAAGGACGCAGCCATTTTGTTTCACTCAAGATTGATTCGTTTAGATCTGACTGGACTGAAGAAAGTTCTTCGCTTTTTTCATTGTACTAGCGTTCAGTACAAATGTATTGTACCCAGGGCATATTTTAATAATAATAATAATAATAATAATAATAATAATAATAATAATAATAATAATAATAATAATATATAGCATTTGTATAGCGCATATCCCCTCTCAGCAGCAGGCTCTATGCGCATCTGAGTAGGTTTGCTTCAAAGAGTTTATTAATATAATAATAATATACTTGTACTTTGGTTTGCTCCGAAAGTTTATAGATCTAATAGGCCCTATAGCTTGCTGCAGCAAGAATAAGCCGAAAAGATACATTTTCTAAAGCGAGTTGCTTAGACTCAAAATGCAAAAAAAAACGTACAACATAAATTGAAACTCTTAAGGCATCCATGTGTTATATACATCATGTCTTAGAGAGAGAGAGAGAGAGAGAGAGAGAGAGAGAGAGAGAGAGAGAGAGAGAGAGAGAGAGAGAGAGAGAGAGAGAGAGAGATTGATTCAGGGGGGGGGGGGAAGTGGTGAACTTTTTTAGGCATGTTTACCATATCAGTGAACGTATACACCTTTCGCATTCACAAAAAAACCAAAATCACGAAACGAAACAAAATTCAAGATCTAACATTGTGAAACTGAATTCAGAGACGAAAAGTTTCAATTCACATTGCTATTGCTATTGCTTATTTATCTGAAAGATTAAGATACTGGGGTAAGATTGCTCTCATTTAGATTCTAGACCTAAATCTAGTCTGTCTAGATCTAGAATCTAGATTTAAATTAGATTCTAGTCTAGTCTTCTAGATTAGATGAGTATATATATACAATGCTAACCTTCCGCTACTTCAAAGCTTACACACACTTATAAATACCCCTATGGCTATGTCCCAAGCCCTACTTACCCATATAGATTATTTATAAGTAAAGCCATGCTATCGACTTGAACCTGTTGAGTACCCAGGTCTCATTAGATCTATATATCTAGATCTAGAAGTTATTCAGGTTTAAATAGTGCAAGTCAGTAAGGCACCTTTTGACTTATGGTTTTGGCTTTGGGGAAGATCCGGACCACTCGTAACATTATTGCGCGAGAATGTGGCGTAGGTGGGGCGGGTGATTGGGCTGGAAGAGGGTGGTGGGGGTTTCAGGGGGGTCTCCCCCACGACAAATTTTTAATGAATAGATCTACCGTCCGAGATTCTCCATTGAGAGATACTAGATCTAGATCTAGATCTAGGGAAAATCATAAATTCCTAAGGTTGAGACCTAGACCTAGGCAAAGTCAGTCTGCTGGTCCGGTATTCGTCAATCTTACCTCACTCTGGTTTTGTCTGAAATACAAATACTTAAAGCTTTGCCAACTAAAAATTTCATTTACAATTCTGCCATAAAGTACGGCTAACCTGACAGTCTTTACTTACTTTTCTTTTACTTTTTTCTTCTGCTTGTACCGGGGGGTGTCGCGGGGAGACACAAGCGTGTCTGCAGCAAGGCGAGTGGCTTGTAGGAGGGACATCCCGTGAGCTCTGAGGGTGTCTGCCACAGACTCACTCCATCATCGCCTTGGTCTTCCTCTGGCTCACCATCCAGAATATTTAATGTTGTATGCTCCCCGAGCTGGATGGTTTGAGGGCTTCCGCGTGAGGTGTCTGAACCACTTGACCTTTTGTTTTTCAATGTGTAGTAGGACTGGTGTTGCTCCTACGGTGTCCCTTATGACTTCATTTTTAATTTTGTCTCTTCTTGTTTTGTTGACCTCTCTTCTTAAGCATTTCATCTCGCAAGTGAGCAGTTTCCTCTCTGGGGCTTTTGTTAGGGACCATGTCTGGCACTGATGTGAGTGTTGGAAGGAAAATGGGGTTGATGAGCTTCGCCTTGGTGCTCATGGGGATATTGGGATGTTTCAGGAGAGGGCCGAGTTGATAGCTGACTGCGGGTCACTGCGTTGGCTCTCTGGCATCTAGTCTCTATTTCTCGATCTAATTTTCCATTTTCTGTGAAAATGCTGCCCAAGTATTTGAATTTTTTTGTTTGTTTTAGCCTCCCAGTCTAGCCGTACAAGACTTATCTTCTAAAGGCCCTATTAACATTAGAAAATAGGAGTTTTAAAATGCATGCACTGTCATTAAGGCATATCTGGTTTCGTCTCAAATACAATACTTTAGGTACTGTAAATTAAAGATTTATAGTCTATTTACAATTCAGTAGGCCTTTTCTTATGGTCAGTCTAGCCATCATATTAAGAATTTAGTAAGGCGAGCCCAGCTGTCTAGCCGTACTCTTCCATTTTTATTAAGTCAGGGCCCCCCCCCCTGCAACCCCCCTCTACTCTTGACTTTAACAAACGAAACTACAAAATCGCCGAATCTAGTACCTGTACTAGGATAGAGAACGTTAGGAGTACGCCAATGGCTGATATTTATAGTAACACTAACAGCCCTCTGGTTTACGTGTCATAAAATAGCCTTGTGTTCTTCATTCTGACTAAAGACAAAAGAAGTTCCTATATATAGACCTATTGTGTCACTGTCTGGTCTAAAAAATAAAAAAAAAAGGCTGGCTCTACTTCTCCACACGTTCGGGAAAATAAACTTGAACTTTATTTCTCCGAATGGTTTCCGCTCTCGAGATTTGTTGATTTGATAATAAGCGAATGGAGTGGCCCGTGTGTGTGTGTGTGTGTGTGTGTGTGCGTTTGTGTGAGTGTGTGTAAGGTGTGTGTGTTAGGTGTGAATGGGGGGGGGGGGGGGGTGTAGGGCATGTAGGGATTTTTACTAGAAGGATTTTCGTTTTTGCTAGTTGACTAAATGCAAAACAGGTTACTGCCAAGGTCAAGCAGTCTTGTTTTCGCAGTACCTTTTGAAGGTATTTTCAAATGAAGTATAGTCTGGGAATGTTGCCCCCAACCACAACTGAAGTATCTGAATATTCAGACATTTAAAAATCTCTAGCTCTAAAAATTGAATTCGATTTAAAAAAATGCTTCCTCCCAGTCCTCTCAGAATGGCAGAATGAAAGGATGACGCCTAAATCTCGCAAATTATAAAAAAATCTCAAGATCAGAAACCGTTCGGAGGAATAGAGTTCAACTTTATTTTCCAGAGCGTTCGGAGAAATTGTCACTGCGAGAAAAAAAATGTGGAATAGATCTAATTTAGATCTAAAAAAAAGGAAGTTTTTATTTTTTTATTTAGCAAAGTGTTATGTATATGATAATGCTCATTATATTATTATGTATAGGCCTTTGTTAAAGAATAGGTCAATAAAGATGGCTGTTATTATAAATATCAGCCAATGGCGTACTCCTAACGTTCTGTAACTATCCGCTTGTGTACACAGTAGATCTAACATTAACAGAAACATGAAGCTACAGCGAGCACCTACCTTGCACACCCCTGTGATTGGCCCAAATATAGGTGATGTATTTCTGTGGCTTCCTTTGCCAGTTGACTAGATCACACCAGGGCGTGACGGGCCCCTCTTAACGCGCGATGGGTTATGCTACGACACGAGGTTTCGTTGCCAACTGCTTGGGCTGTGTGTGCTTGTGTGTGTGTGCGCGCGCTTGTGTGTGTGGGCATGCTTTTGTGTGTGTATGCATGCGTGTGTGCATGTGTGCGCACACGCTTGTGTGTGTGTGTGTGTGTGTGTGTGTGTGTGTGTATGTGTGTGTGTGTGTGTGTGTGTGTGTGACATGTGTGTGTAGGCCTACAACTTTGAGGAGAAGGTAAATTTATGGAACAAGAATTGCTGAGATTGTTTATAACAGATAACACAAATAATACAAAGAACCAACATGGCAAGATCTAGTCAACTGGCAAGGGAAACCCAAGAGTCTTGGGGGAATCCCCAGAAGACAACAAAAATAAATGGCGGAAATACGTCATCAATATTTGGGCCAATCACAGAGATGTGCCATGTTTAACAGGTTTAGTAACAGTACTTGGTTACTAATTCAACTGTTTGGAATGCCTCTAGTGTACACAAGGAATTTTTGTATTCACTCTCATCAGGTCAGTTTAGGTCTACACTTTATAAATCTGATCTATAGATACTGTTGCTTTCCCTCCTCTCCACAACCTGCCACCATTGAAATTCTACCACTATGTACCCTCCCCCCCTCTCTCTTTCTCTCTCTCTCTCTCTTTCTCTCTCTCTCTCTCTCTCTCTCTCTCTCTCTCTCTCTCTCTCTCTCTCTGTCTCCCACTTTCACTCTCTTTTCCCTCTTTCACTCTTTTTTCCCTCCCTCACTCTCACTCTGTGGATTTATTCTATGAAAGTACTGTACTCTGTACACAGAAGACTTTTGTATGCATTTAAATTGGCTGTATATTATTTAATTGTCTCTGATTCAGGACTTTGCTTTAACAATCTCTGTTTCTGTTTTAGGCATTGTAGCTGGCTGGCTCATTATGTTTGGAGACTCGACAAGTAAAGGGTCCTAGATGGAGTTCCAATGCGAGCTGGAGGATCCCATCTCCTGGCGCAAGCTTGAATCGCAGAATATTGTGCACCGACTGTTCAACCGAGAGGTGTATTCCTGTCCTCCAGGCACTTGTTTTAGCCAAGCTCGGAAGTTTTACACTCATATTGTGCCCAACTTTAGTGTTCTGAATGTGGAAAAGCCTCCTTGTTACCTCAGAAAGTTTTCCCCTGATGGCAGGTTGGTGATTTAATGATCTGGTGCAGCATTTAATGTTATGTTTTTGTTTTTTTTATGAGATCCAGGAGTGCCCAGACTTTTGCGCATCCCAGTTCAAAGCCACGACGTGATAGTATTGGGTTGTTTTGTAGTTTGCTTTTTGTTACAGTTCAATACTTTTGTCGTGTTGAATCTTTTATGTGAATGGACCAAAACACCCTGAGTCACACTGGCAGGAACTGTATGATATAAATTTATGCTGTAAAGTGTGAAGGAAGCAAGTTTGCACTTCTCTACTTTCACTTTTTAGTAGGCTTCAAGCTGGTTTCTAGTTTTATTGGAATACTTTATATCTAAAAGAGGAACGTAGATAATTACAATTTGTCCTTGGGAGATGTTATAATCTTCAAACATGTAAAACTCCCCACTAATTGCATGACCACCAGCCTTTATTGAAGGTGAGTGTCTGTCTTTCTTTTGGCAGTATTCTTGTATAGTAACCATAGAGACAAAATGGGGGTTCTATGGTATAGAGGTTTAGGTGTTTGCCTTTTATTCATTACGTTCCGGGTTTGAATCCGGAAAGTGCCCAGACTTTTGCGCATCCCAGTTCAAAGCCACGACGTGATAGTATTGGGTTGTTTTGTAGTTTGCTTTTTCCGGAAAGCAACAGAAAATGTTCCCCTTTCACATCCTTTCCTGCTCTCTAACACAATGTTCTGTTGTCTGCTTTCATTTCCAATTTCTGCCCCCACCCCTTCACCTCATAATTTGCTCCCTCCTCTGGGCTCCGCACTCTTTCCGCAGCCTTTCTACTGCTACTCCTTGGCTCCTTCTTACTGCTACTCCTTGGCTCCTTCTTACTGCTGTCTTTCAGCCACGTCCCTGGTCTCATGGTAGATAAGATCTAACACCTAGCCTTCTTCGATAAGGGCGAAAAATCTCAAAGGTCCTGCGTGCAAGTTGCGCACATTAAAGATCCATTGGTAGTCCAAAATCGATAAGAGTAGGCTTAGGCCGCGACCCGGACAAAATTAAAAATTTCCTACAAATGGAAAATGTTTAATGTGTCACGCGTGCTTATATGACCTTATGATGCAGTTGCAAGCGCTGTAGAACTCTTTCCCCCCCTCAAAAAAAGAAGACAAAATGGGAAAACAAATGGCAAACTGAAATTAGACTTGAAAAGTATTTTTCGTTTAAGAATTCAAGTGTTATGATTGGAGGGAATATCGGGGACTTTTTTTCGTTGAGAGTGCATCAAGACCTATACTTGCTTTTCTGTTCTTGTGTTGAAGTGTCATTCATATGCATCATGTACCATACTTTTATCTCTTTGCCTTTCAGGGAATGAATTTTCTTTTGTGTACATGAAGTAAGTTACATTTCCTTGAAATTCTGATTATATTTTTGTGATGTATTTGCAGTTTTGTACGTCTTTTCATTTGATAGGTTCTTCATTGCTGTCTCCTATGATCAGACTTCCATTGAGATCTATGACTTCAAAGGATCTGAGGCCGGTGGTGACTTAATCAAAAACATCAAAGGAGATGTTATTCCAGGCTCTGATGATGCAGAAGAACCGTCCACTCAAGTTCGGAGCAAAATTTTCTCTCAGTTCCTTCAGAAGAGACATGTTGTGCGGGTCACAGCTGGGGAAGAAATTCTGAACAGAGAGTGCAGTCTATTCACAGACGATAGTTGTTATGTCATTGTGGGCTCCAGTCATTTGTTACCTGACGAGTCAAGTAGCAGATTCTATGATGTGTACAGGAATAATGAGTGCATTACTCCAAACTACAGACTGGTTCCAGAGGACTACACGCTCAGCATTGTTGCCCTCAAAACAGGTGAGATCAGGCTCTGTCTGATGATGCAATTTGTGATTTTCTAAAATGGTACTCTTATTTATCAAATGTGGTCTGTTAACCGGTGTAAGGTCCGCTTAAGAATTCTGTGTAAATGTAATACAGTTGAACCTGCTCTAATGGCCTATAAGACAATCATCGGTACAAAGAGCCACTTCCCATGTCCCCCCTTGCATTTTTTTACATTATAATGACACTGAGTAAGACGTCCACCGGTCTAAGACAACCAATTTTCTCCTCGACAATGAGAGGCCGTCTTTAACCATTTCAATTGGATATGAATCTAGAACTTACTCATGTGCTTTGATATGCAGGGGAATGTATCTTACTTAAAACATTAAAAATTTTCATGGTACTGTCAAACTAGCCCATAATAGAGTCATAAAATGCTTGAGAAAATTCTGCTTTCTTCTGAGGTTTTTGTTTGGTGATGATATTGTTCGGAGGTATGAAAGCAGGGTAGATGTTGACGGAGTGGGTAGTTATTCAAGGGCTTTTTAAGTTGAATAGAACATGTCGCAGATCTGGCACTGGATGATGATGAGAACATGTCTCTCATCAGATTCACTAGTAGTCATGGATGGGATAGGTGATCAGGGACAGAGATTCAAATCTTTCTGGAGTAACTTTTTCCTATTCATGTGAATTGAGCTTTTGTCCTGTACTGGGTTTTCTGTATATATTGGGTTTTATCACAAAAAACAAACCATGAGAATGTTTTTACTGTGTTCCACTCGAGATAGATTTCGGCTTTGGTAGGTTCACTTCACAAGATCATATATTGACTTAATTAATCAGCTATAGAACAGATTTTTAAAAAGAATTAGAAAATTATATTTACATGCTTCTTGTCATTATTAGATTTTTCATTTTTATCAAGAGTTCTTTGATGTACCTTGCTATTTTTCTGCTCTTTTTGTCTGTACAGGAATTGTATGTGATCGCAGAAGGTTTCGACTAGACAAAATCTACCTATCGCACAATCAGGGAATTTACCTCTATGGGAACATACTGGCGATGCTGTCTGTACAGCAGCAGGTGATCCATGTGTTCCAGATCTCACCACATGGCACCTTCATTGAGATTCGAACCATTGGAAGATTCTGCTATGATGATGATGAAATTTTTTATCGTCAAACATCGCACCATCAAGCAAGAACTCTTAACAGGCCGTACACTGATAAAGTGAGCTGTTGTTGTCTCTTTTTCCCTTTTGTTTTCAGATTTTAGTATCTTGCTCTAGTTTTTTGCAATCAGTTTCTGATAGAAGACTCAATTGGGTCAGACTCTGTAGTAAGGCAAAAGTATCTTTAGTGACATTGCAATACTATAATAGATAGTGACTGTTTAACCTGTATGTGTAGTGATGATATTATGTTGGCATTGGACAAGTGCGAAGTTTAGAGTCCTTGAAAAAAATCCACTTTGCTCTGCATGAAATGTCATTGCAAGTGCTTTTATGCCTGGTCTTTTCCCTTACTTTTGTGAGTTTTGCCCCTTGGCTTTAGATTAAAATGGCTTGCATGAATAGAAAATACAAACATGTACTATGCTTTAATGTTCTTGACCTGGGACTGTCTACAATGTTGAGAGAATGTTGTAAATTTGTTATATGTTTCTACCAAGTGGCTTTATTGAATATGTGAGGCCTAAAAGCTTTGTTACACCTGTACAATATAAGTATTCAGTCTTTTATTTTCTTTTGATGAATTTACGAATGAATGTGTTGTTCCAAGCTGTACGATTTTTTGAAAAGTACACTGATAAATCAAGCAATAATGCTTTGAGGTAGAGGGAGCAACTTTGTCACTTCTTTTCAGGAAGAAAATAAAAAAAAAAATGTTATTGTAGTTTCGAGATGGAATATAATTATGGTTTTACACTTTTCTGATCTTTTGTGTGTTAATTTATTTCCTTACACAGTCCATCAACTCTCTCAAGCATCGATTGCTGGTGTACCTGTTTAAAGCTGCAAAAAATGGTCACATTGATCAGGGGATCCGTTCTTTCTACTGGGCTATGGACGATTTGCTGAATTTACGTATGGGAAAACTGCAACTTCTTGATGAGGAGCATCTTCTGATCAAGTATGCAAGCGAGGAAGTTGTTACATATCGCAATGGTGACCCTACAAATATGCCATCGCTGTTTGTTGTTTACAACATGAATACCACAGAGGTAAGGAATAGATGAAAATGTTTTGTTAACCCCTTCACTGCTGACTTATATTCCCCGCCCTATGCTGACCTTGTTTCCAGGAGTAGCACTCAAACGGGTGATACTTTTAAATTGCTATTTACTCTGTGGTAATGCATCAAATGCCTAACAATGTCTATATAATTTTAAAGGGAAATGAATGAACCGCTATCATCATCAACAAAAATTTCTTTGATAGCTTGATACGTTGAGAGCATACATCGCAAGTGATCAGCCATAGCTGGGAGCTAGAGTGAGATGCTAGAATTGTGAAGAGAGAGTGACTGTTCAGTGATGCTATATTTCACGCTATTTTCGTCAGTGTTGGTCTAACTAGGGCAAACTAAAGCTTCTCTAACTCGGGAAGAAAAGAGCTTTCAGAGGAGCCCACTCTCGATACTAAATTGCAATTACCGGCTGAGTAGGAAATGAAACAAAACAGCAATATTGCCGGGCGTACACTGTACGTCTACAGCGCATAGGAGGGCCCGATTTATGGACATACACCGCACGCCGTGCAGCAGTGAAGTGGTTTAAAAGAGTGACCTTTTTTTATTTGTCTGATACATAAAGAAGTATGACTTACGCTTGAAGTGGATAGTGTCTTTCAAAAAGATCCTGCACAGAAAAGTCAACAACACTCTCTACAGGACAGTGGTTAAGATTGGAAATTAGCATCAGTGTAGTATTATTAAAATGGTGGTTGCTTAAAAAAAATCCTCCAACTTTCAAGCGCTTGGATTTTGTGCTCACTTTCAAACCTTGGTCTTTTTGTTTTCTTATTTTAGAGAATTTGCTCTTACATTCTGGACATATTTGAGTTTGTTTAAATGTATTATTTGTATGATTACCTTTTTTGTTCTTGTATCCTATCCCATTTGTAGTTTGAATGCCACAGCGATTTTAGAGTAGATCCATTATTCATACTCATCCTATTTCTTTTCCTTCCCTTTAGATCTTGGGCGTCTATGAACACACGTCACCTGAACTTCTGAAACTGATGGAGAGCTTCCAGGACCATTTCCGCAATTCATGGCTTCATCTGCAGCCTCAATTCCCGTCTTCTCCGTCCTCCTCTATTCATGCTCGCCGCATCCAGCAAATGTTCAAGTGGACTCTGATCGTCGCTAAGAATGGCGGTCAGAGAGAGGCCATCTCTCGAATGTTGACTCAGTTGCCGATCAGTGCGCAGTCGTACAGCTGTTCCCCGTACCTGGACCACGCCCTTTTCAGCTACGATGACAAGTGGGTGTCACAGCTTGAGAGACCAAAGACCTGCGGGGACCATCCGATAAGGTGTGTAATCGGAACGTTAAATACGATACAAGACGACATTGTTGGTCTAGTGGTTAAACTGTCAAGCTCACAACCATTAGGTCCTGGGTTCGAATCCTGGCAAGGGCCTAAAGTTGTGTCCTTGGGAAAGGCACTTTACACAAATTGTCCTCTCTTCACTTTGACGCCCAGGTGGGAATGGGTGCCCTGACTATAGATAGCGAAAGGTGTTTTTTTTTGGTAAGTGTTTTACAGTGCTTGCAACTGCATAATATCATATGAGTGCGTGGGACACATTAACCCTTAAAACCCTATACCGCTGGTAACCGCTGACGCCGTATTTTCCTATACCACTGGTAACCGCTGGTCGACTTTATCGTTTAATTCCCAGTGCTAGAAACAGGGGATGTAACTCCAGATGACTCTGTCGCGAGCAGAAAGTACCGATAATGTCACGAGAGCAGTTCTACACCGAAAGTTTGGACATTTTGCGAGTTTTTAAGAAAAATTAGTCACTTTTCGCTGCCAGGCCCTTCAGGCTGCCAAATTTTTGACATTTTTTATCCTAACCAGACCCCAATAATGATCTCCCAGTCAGATATATCGATAAATATGACCGTTGAAGACGATTGCAATGTTCCGCATAACATTGATGATGATTTTGACGATAGTGGAATTGGCAGGGGATCACCACTAAAGCTACCAGAGGCTCGATCTACGGTATGAAAAAAAAGAATTCAGGGTTTTTTTAAGGGTTAAACATTTTCGGTTTGTGGGAAATTTTGAATTTTGCCTGGGTGGAGGCCGAAGCCTACTGTTATAGATTTTAGACCACCAAGGGATCTGTAACATGCGCAACTTGCACACGGGACCTCTTAGATTTTGCGCCCTTGTCCGAGAAGGCTAGGTGTAGATCTTTCCTACCAGAACATCAAAAAGGGGTCAAGGAGAAGCAGTGGAAAGGCTGCAGAAAAAATCAGGGGCCCAGAGGAGGGGGCTAAGGAGGTGAGGGGGTGAGGACTGGAAGTGGAGATGAAAGCAAACGACAGAACATTGCTAGAGAGAAGGAAAGGACGTGAAAGGAGACAATTTTAGAGAAGAACATTTTTACGTCGCTACCCGGATTTGAACCCGGGACCTTTGAATGAGAGTCGAACACCTTTACCTTTAGGTCATGAGAGTACCCGCGACAGGTCTTGGAAGTTTATAATTGTTTAATTGGCTGCTTGCACTGTATGCTTCCTGGAAGCTGAGAATGTTCGTGAGTGTTCAAGGGTAATTTTAAGCGCTTAGAGCTTGTTGTTGAGTATGGATATATGTGTTATATAAATGCAATTATATTATAATCGTTATTTTTTTGTTTGTGCAATGTCTGTCACGAATTTAGCTCTGAATTGAGTTGTCTTGTGAACATGCAGTTTAGATATTCGAAGTATTAGTAACATTCGTTAGGTGGTTTATTTTGTAGAGATAGATTCTTTCATTGGAGTACAGAAAGACTAGATAATGTACCCAAAAGGGGTGCTGTGTGCGTTTGAGGAAGTATGTGGTTGTGATTTTAAAAAGTCTGCCCTCTTCCTCGTAAATGAAAATGAGGGAGTCCAGCTGGTTACACTGTTTGCACAGTCTTTGAAAGCTGTGCTTGGCCATTATGGTATCATATTGATAGTGGGATCCTGGGGTCTATTTGCAAGCAAACCTGAACTTCCAACTTTGGATGATGTCCAACATAGTCTCGCAGACAGTGGTGCAACCTGTTCTAAAATATCAAAGGAGTAAGGGTAGTGAGGCAAAGACACAAACCTCATTATCTTTTTTCTTTCTTTAGTGAGTTTTCATGACTCTCTTAAACGTGCTGTTATATATTATACATGGACATTAAGCTTTGGTTTTGCCTGGTAAATTACTAAAACATGTTAAATTGAGACCTTAAATTTCAACATTGTTAGTACCAGTGCAGCTGTCTTGTGTCATCAGTGTCTGCTAAATATTTATGCCTACTTTTTCTGCATTATTTCGACTATTTGATGTTAATTCTTTATGTTTACTTTTTGATAATTTTTTGTTTTTTATTTATTCCTCAGGTTTTTCACCCGTGATTCAGGAATGCTGAGATTTAAAGTCAACACCGGTGCTTCTGAAAGACAAATTTCCACCAATAACCGGAGACTTGTTGCTTTTATATTTCATCCTTTTGAGCCTTTCATCATTAGTGTGCAAAGAACTGCTGCAGAATACAGAGTGAACTTCCACATTAGAAAATGCCCATCTTGACCATAGCTTGGTTTTAGGACGTGAATGTGAGATGGACATGATGAGGAAACAGGGTGTGCAGAGAATTATGACCATTTCTTCAAGTAATTACTTCATTTTAGTTTTCCTTGTGTAGTACCAGTCAGGCTTTTCAACTGTACAGTTTCTGGTGGAACTCATTCTGGCTCTGAATGTTTGTTTAGAACCTTTCATTGGCTTTGTATGCTTAAATTGTCAAAGTTTTCTGCAGCTGGTAATGTTTTTTTCCCCCTGTAAGTTTGAGATGAGTGGGAAGATAGCATAGGAATGTTTCTGTGGTCTTGAAGGGGAACGGGGAATAGAATTTAGCAGCTTAAGAGGCATATGTGCTACCCACTGCCATTCTTAACGATTTAGCAATGTTGCCAGACAGGAGAAAACTGAATTTTTAGATCTGAGACTTAAAATCTTTTTTTTTAAACAAATTTTTCTCTTTATAGATTTGTTTTTCATTGCACAGTTGAACCTGCCATATCAGAAACCTGTCATGACGGAATCTCCTTGCACTCCCATTGTTAAATTCCACAAAAATACATCTGTCTATGACAAAGATGGAAACCTTCACACCCGAAAATGGACAGAAATTCCTTACTTTTGGTGGGTTTTGACCAATTGAAGATGGAAAATGCTTTACTCGCTAAACTGTTATTTGAAACAAAACTCCCGAGTTTGGTTCTACTAGTTCTAATCTTTATGACAGGCCGCCAAGTGAAGGAGGAAGGAAGGGGTGCTGTTTTGGGGGAACTTACCCAACCATGTGTGGAGTGGGTGTGAAATCTTACCACTGCTTGCCTGCAAAGTGATCAAATGGTCCACCAGCACATAATCTTTCCTGTGAAGTCGGCATTGTGAAATTTGACCACTGCCTGCCGCTAATGTATGTCAGCCGAGAAAAAAGTTCTACGAATTGTTGTTAGATGCAAGGGAGAGGTAGTCTTGGTTGGATGTGCTTATTAAATGGATAAGTGCGGCAAATGATAGAAAAAAATGCCACTATTGGAGCAGCTTAGATAGGGCTTGGGAGGTATGAAGCTTTGTCCAGGGCTTGCTGACCAAAATGATTCCTACTACATATTGCTGGCCTTCTTGGCCCTCTCCCCTTAAATGTCATTGTCCAAGACAGAAAATTTCTAAGACGGATTTTTGTTCTGGCTTGCTTGTGTTTCTGACTTGGACACATTTGAGTGTATTTCATTCTGAAGATCTATGTCAACATTTCTGTAAAGGAAAGAAATGTAGAGATAATTTTTTTCATTTGTGTCTTGATGATCAGTGGTATTACTGGCTATGGCAGTTGCAGTAAACAGAGTGCAGGGATGCCAGTCTCCAGTGTCTGCTTTGATCTTCATTGTGATTTAGCGTATTTATCAATAATGTTGCATATTGTGTAATGTTGTCAACCAAATCAAATTTTCTCAGGAATTTGTGAGCATGAAACTTTATGAACAAAGTAAGGAGGTCCAAGAAATGGATAGCATGGGGACGCTTGTGCTAAAGTAGTCCTTTACTCCGTGATTGTTTTGGCGGGTCTGAGACAACATTCCTGGGACAGACAATGAGTTTATTGGCTTGTCAAAAGAAATCTTGTGTGTAAAGAAGGGTGATAAGTTCAAGCTTTCTGAATAAGTCAGTCACTCAGTGATTTAAGGGACTTATAGCCTTTTTTATATTTTATTGTTGAATTGGACTCAGATATATAATTTATAATGAAGTTGAGACTTCCATTATAATCTAAGATTTGAACCCTGGAGATATTCGTTTCAGCTTTGAAAAGTTCTAGTTTTGTTTTTGTAGACTTGTTTAAGGTGCACAAACCAAAATCATAATATTAACTACCATGTCAAAAGAGCCATTTCAGAACTATATTGTCTTACTGTATTCTTGTTTTATCGTTTCAGGGCATTTTGTACATAAAAGTGTGCTTGTGTATGATGTCTACTCGTGAAGTTTTAAATGATTCTGTCCGAGAAAATAAGTCTTCTTCAGATCAGTTCATTGCCGTGTATATAAATGTCTGTTGCTATTTTTGCTTCACTGATGAAGCACTATTGATTTTTGATAAAGTAGGAATAGTAAGTAGGCCAACATTATATTTTCAATTTCACTTCTGAGATGAAGAGGAAACTGGAAAGTCTTGAAATAAATGGAAGAAGATTAAAAGTAGATTGCCAAAGGAATTTGCTTCTATTTTTTTTGGTACTGTGAGTTGGACAGTTGGGTTGAGTGCTTCTATTAATGCATCATTTGGAAACAGTATAAAATGACCTGTTGCTTGTTTTACCATGGGAAAATGAAAAGCAGAAATAGTGTTTGCTGCTAATTGTGTTGGGGAAGCCGAAAGTTTGCATTTGACTGTCTTGATGTCATTTGACTTTGAAGTCCTTTCGTGGACTGTGCCTTTTCAATTTTCTTTTAATGATGGGCAGGGTTGTGGTAATGATATGACTTCAGACTCCACTTCAATGCATCATATCTATGCTCTTTGAGCTCTTTGTTGTGTTTTGGTGTTGGGATATTTTTGTTAAAAGAGAACATAGCTACCCAAGGAGTGAGAGGGGCTTTTTCCTTACTTAACTAACTGAACAGTGGTGGGAGATTTGTGAGTGAGTGGAAGACTCAGCTGTAACTGGGGATTTGGTTTTGGTTGGACTTGGCTAGGTGATGAGGCTTTTTGTGAGACTGGCCTAGCTACTCAAATAAACTCAAATAAAGTCAGGAATCAACCACGTTCACACTTGTGACTATGAGGTGTTAGTGACAAAATCGTGTACTGTGGATCGTACTCAGGTGTTGGCTACCAACAAGTAAATGTTTCTGTGTCCCGGTGTGGATCGTTACTTCATTTTAAAAAAATCTGAAACTGCTACCATCTCTGTTTTTTTCCTTATGGTTGTGTTTATGGTATCTCAAGACAACTTGTATTCATCTGAAGACCACTACAAGGCATTAGACAGAAGGGCGAGAGCCCAGCTGTCGCCAGATTGATAACCAACAACAATGGGCAAAGGTTGAGAAAAAAATATTTTGAAAGTTGTGTGAAAACTCTTTTAAAGTTTTCGACTTTGTGGTGAATATGTCTGTGCTGACCTCTTGTCATTTTAAAATCATCTTAGGCTGTGTTGATGGCATTGCTTTGTGACAAATATCCTCTCTTTTGTTTTGTGAGAGTCTCTGGAGAATATGTCGTATGTGTCTTGACCTTGACTGCATTATATTTTTAACTACAGTGAACTATGCTTAAACCAAACATGGTGTATCTGAAAACAGTGTTAAGAAAAATAAGTCCCCTGATTTTTTCCCCTTCTATTTGAGCAACCTCTCTATATCGAAAGCTCATTTAAACTGAAGAAAATCAAGTGGTCCCATTGTTTTCGGTGAATGCGGACTGTACTCATAGACTTATGCTGTTCCCATCAGATGCAAATAACATACCGGCTTGGAGTGCATTTTGAGTTTCAGTCCTCATTTTTCACCTTCTTCAACTTGATGTTGCTACTTTGAGCGACAGAGCCAAGGAAAAAATATTTCCCTGTACATGTAATAGTATTGGGCAGAGGAGCTTACTTAAACTTAAACTCTCTGATTGAAACAGATGTGTTTCAGTTAGGGGGTTTGAACCCAGATTGGATGCATTGTTTTCTAGGCTTTTAGGAATTCAGCTTGCAATGCATCCTTTTTATGCTCTTTGTAGCATGCAATAGAATACATTCGCAGTGTGTATATTTGTATATGTATGTATACACTAGTGTGTATTTGAGTGTATGTTTGTGTGAATGAATGAACTAAAAAAACAGAAAGAGAGAGAGAGAGAGAGAGAGTGAGAGAGTGAGAGAGAGAGAGAGAGAGAGAGAGAGAGAGAGAGAGAGAGAGAGAGAGAGAGAGAAAGAGCGGGCGAGAGAGAGACAGCGAGAGAGAGAGAGACAGCGAGAGAGAGAGAGAGAGAGAGAGAGAGAGAGAGAACTCTCACAATTATACGAAGCATTACTCAGATACTTGTAACTTACTAATAGAATTCTGTATTTTCTTTGATCATCAAAGCAGTAGTAATGATGATGGTGAAAATGCAAAAATGAAGTTGATGAAATGTCAAGTACAAAGAGTAGGTATTAATTGACATCAGATTATTCAAAATATATATACAATACAGTTATAAGAAAGTCGGTGTAAATAAACAAAAAGTTTACTTTTTTGCAAAAATGTGTATTATTAAGTGAAGAAGAGACATTGTATTAATATCATCATGCATATAAGAAACCACCCATAGTATCAACAATTACCCAAAAGCACACACTGTATCGAGGTTAACGACACAAAGTCTTTTACAAAAGAAGAAATTATGGATAAATGAACTCAGATTGAGTGGTGTAAACCCCCCCCCCCCAAAAAAAAAAACAACTACAGGTCCAGTCTTTGTATTTGTTTAAAGCAGATTATATATATCTTACAACCTGTCAAAAACTCAGTGGGAACTATGCTAATAAAGTGCCTTTAAAGCTAAATTCTGGTGCTGATCACCCCCCCCCCCCTCCAGTTTCCATTAATAACAAATTTTATAATCTTAATCAAAGTTCACCCTATGTAAATCTGATTCCAGTTCTAGAGCATGACTTTGTAGACTGAGTTTTGTTTAAAGTGATATTAAATTAAAAACCTTTGTGGGACTGGGTGCAAGGTGGATCACAGGATGCATATTGTCTTTAAAATATCAAGTGCTGTTGCCTTTGTGTTGTTATGCGTCACAGCTTCTGAGGAAGGGATCCTCATCTACAAATTAATTTAGGTTTTTTTCTTTTTCTTTTATGAAATTTGAGAGGTAATGTATATTTTGATTTTTAGGTTGTGAGTGATATGCTGCCTAATCCCATCTTTGAAAAGAAACATATTTTATTTAGACTTAAAAGTTTATGTTTTAAAGAGTTTTACTGTCTTATTTAGTGTCTGCAGCTTTGTTGTCTTTACTTTATAGTTTTAGAGTGAATGTAAGCCTACTTTAATTGCTTTATGTGGCTGGAAGGTGTTATTGGCAGGGCCTGCTTCTCTTCTCTCCCAATGTCAGCCAAGTTACCTCTGTACCTCTTAAAAAATGAGCAACTAGAGGGCACCCCTGGTAGGTCTAAATTCTTTACTATCCCTTAGTAAATTTTGTCTGTCTGTCTTTTTCTGATTACATCTACTAAGGGACCGTTCCCTTGTCATACTGATGTGTTTCTCATTAACTAGATCTGGAAATGCTAAAAAGTCCGTAGACCTCACCGTTGTTTCAACAATAGACTAAATCATATTTGCCATGTTACTGTTTTGTCACAGACGAAGCACCTAGGGTTCGTGGATAAGGAAGAAAAATCTTGGAGGTCCTGTATACATGTTTCGCACGTTAAAGATCCCTTAGTGGTTGAAAATGGTAGAAGAGAAGGTCGTTTGGCCGCCATGTGTGTAAAATTTAAAATGTTAAAACATCATCATTAACTCAAAGTGTTTCTGCCACAACTGTAGATAGAAAGACATGTTTTTACACTTTCCTTTATTTCAAATGTATTACTGTGTCTCTCCATTATAGCACATCAAGGAAGTCAAAATCTGAAGGGAGGGAAGTAGTACATACTTTGGCAATCTACTCGTACTCCCTCATGTTTACTATCCAGGCAAATCTGTATCATGCCTTCTGCTTTAGTCATCATTGGTTTCGATGGACAGCTCAAGTAAAAGAGCTCTGTCACAGGGAGGGTAAAATGATTTTTCAAATTTTTAGGAAGAGCACCAAGGGATTTTTGAATGACCTTTGTTAGAATCTTGATTGACTGAATGGAGGTTATTTGGGAAATTTAAGTTTAGGCTTCTCTTGTATGAGATGATTATATTCCATGTTGAAGTCAAAGACTTTTCTCAAGAGTGATTATATATTTAGATTACATGTATATGTACGTCTAATGTGGTTTGTCATGAAATGCTTAAATTCATCTCACTTCATATTAGATGTACAATGTGTTATCATTACACTGCTATGAAGTTGGGTCTACCGGCCAGTTAAAACTCAACACGATTGTGTTATACTTTGGCATGACATTAAATGAGTTTGAACTTTGTGAGAAATTCCCAGTTTTCTGTGTTTAGTGCTTTTGTACAAGACCACCCAAAAAGATTTCAACAAGGGAAAATTTCTGGCTTTTAACTGGCAGAAATTGGTCGTTTAGATGATGGAACTGTACAATATGCATATGGATGTTGTATTTCTGACAACAGTATGAATTTGTGTTTCAGAAAAGTCTTTTCAAGTGTCTGCAATAAGGTGTTTCCAAATAAGAGTGTAAAGTGTATTAGAATGAGGTAAAGTGTTGATGAAAAGTACATATATATAATGTAATATTTGAATTTCATTTTTAAGTCTGTATCACACAAAGCTGATATAGACGTATATGGACTTACATTTTTTTCTCAGGACTTCTGTCTTTTCCGCCTATTTACACTATTACTCTAAATGCTTCCTGTGATTAGGAAAGATGCGATTTTCTTTCATGAGTTTTTTTAGTCACTAGTAAAATTGATGAATGCAATGGTTGTACTTTGGTTTCCAAGGATTTCTTCATATACACATGATATTACAATCTGCTAGCATTACTGGGGAGGAGTAGTACACATAATGTATTTGGATTCAAAGTCTTGTCATGGAGTCAGTACAATATCTTACATGTTCTTTGTGCATTGTCCATTTTTAAGTTGGAACAAAATGGTTATAGGCACAATTTCTTTGAGTGAAAGTTTGTTTCAATTCCACTCATCTGGTGCATTTTTAATATATATAACACAAACACACTGAGGAATTTATCCATGGTTATAAATATATGATTTATACATGGCATCATGAGTAGGTGAAGTCGAGATTTTGGTGGTGGGTATTTACACATCGCTTTGAATGGATAACTTAATGAATGGAGGTATGAAGAATGGTGTACACCATGGCACATGGCAGGCCATGGTTAAATTATAATTTTTGCGGATTCTCCTGTATCAAAAATGATTGTGAAGCCATTTCAGTCAACAATGGGATATAAGTACAGTGATAAATTGTTTTCAGTTTCTTTGAGACGAGAAGTGACTTGGTGGCTTATGCCATAAAGATAATGGAGGATTACAAATGTTACCATGATTTTTATATGGATAAGTGAGTAAATACGAAACTGGAAACAATTTCTTTACAGAACAAAGAACAAGCCATAGGTAATTAAAATGTGAATTTTTTGATCGAGGAGAATTTTAAGAAGTCTTTTTGTACTTTTATTCCGAGCTAAGAGACTGCGAATGATCTCTATAGGCTTTTTCCTCTATAGAAATGTATGTTTTGTTGATAAAACTCAAGATTTGTCAGAAAAGGAAAACGTCTCTGCAAGTATTTTATTCTCGTTCACCTCTTTTCTTTGTTTTCTTTTAGTAGTACTAGAGGCAGAAACACTTATATTACAACATTACAAAGTAAAAAAAAGGGCAGTTGAGTATATCATCAACGACTTTTGTTTTGATATTTCTATTTCTAGTACTTGGCACAACTTTCGACTAAAAAATGTATTCTATGTGCCTGCGTTACCCTGAATAATGCTCTTTTTTTATGCTAATTCCCCTGAAAGCCAGTAACAGAAATCGCCCTATAGCTTAACGCATTACTAACAAGAAATTAGTTCAATTTATAAGAGAGCACCCTTTACACACTAATCTGAAAAGCTATCTTGTCTTGACCAGCATGCACCTTCAAATTGAACTCGATTTTCTCTCATACCTGACTTGCTTATAAATCCTTCCTTAAGAGAACATTTTAGGTGTACATGTATACTGAACGAATTTTGATTTCTCAAGCTGATAGGAATAAAACTTCTAATAAAAAAAACAACAAATGAACAAAAAACAAAACAGAAATGTATTTCAAAAGGGTTCTAGTGGATAGAAAAAGAAGGATATCGTATAAATGTAGCATGAAAATTTGTAACGTTACCGTTAACGTCAACCAATTGGAATGTATTACAAATTTCCCTTCCGTTGGTGCTGTGAGGTAGAAACATACACACGTGTCGGCCGAGACATGTGTTGGTGTGGCGACACACTCACAGGTCGACTGCTTCTCCCTGACTCACAGATATACAGACTGTGACGTAGGTCCTAATTTGATGATGTGCTCATTGGAGCTTTGAAAAAAAAATACCCGTCTGTACAGAAATATCTGCTGAAGGGGAAAAAAGTTACAGAGGGTGCAATGGCAAATGATTTGAAACAGAAATTTTTATAGTCACGGGTTGCTGTAGGCCACGTTTGTTGTTATGAGTTGTGGTGAACTGTTGGCTCATCTGTGGCGAGATGTGTACTACATAAACAATTTTACAACATTCAGTCGTCATTTTTGAAAATACAGTTGCCTATAATATGCAGTTTTTACAATTTTACAAGAGAGCCCCGAAAAACAAAAAACAAAACAAAACAACCCTGAATGTTGCTGTCAGTAAAACAAAATTTGCGAAGAATTTGTTCGCTTGGTAACAATACGGGTATTCAGTTGTATTTTTTTTTTTGGCTCTGTGAAAAAAATTGTGAAAAGTGCATATGTGTCACGACGCAGTGGAATCAGGCACTCGTCAACTTTTGGGTATATGGAGTTAGTGATACCATCTTAAAGGTTATTCATTTGCCTTGATTTCAATGAAAAAAAAATCCATTTATTTTGAATAGGAGTCGAGATATTTGCGACTGAAGGAGATGGAGTCGCCTGGTCTCAGAAGTAAAATTAGCGATAAAATGGCTGCCAAACTTT